CTCACAAATGTCAGTTTTAACCTCTTCCTGTGTTACAAAAGCTGTTTCTTCCAAATGATTCTGTAAGCTACGAAACAAATGGTAGTCTGAAGGAGCAAGATCGGGAGAATAAGGTGGATGAGGAATTTTCTCCCAACCAAGTTCTTCGATCTTTTGTGACGTGATTCTTGCTGTGTGGGGTCGCACATTGTCCTGATGAAACATCACCTCTTTTCGATTCACTAGAGCAGGTCTTTTTTTCCTTAAAGCTTGGTTCAAACGCTCTAATTGCTGACAGTATATTTGAACATTAATTGTTGCATTAGGTGGTAAGAATTCAAAGTGGATTATTCCTAGGCGATCCCACCAGAATTAAAAGAAGAACATTTTGCCCATGAAGTTCCCTTCTCGGCTGTGGCTGAGGTCCTGCCCCTTTACCAAGACACTGTCTACGATGCTTAACATTTCGATAAAAGATCCATTTTTTGTCACCAGTCACAAGTCTATCTAAAAAAGGTGAAACAAGTTGGCGAGAATGGAGAGAAGAGCAGATGTCAACTCGGGATTTGAGGTTGTTTTCACACAATTCATGAGACACCCATTTTCCAAGTTTAGGAACTTTTCCAAGTTGTTGAAGATGACGATGAACAGTTGTATGGTTTGAACTGAGAACCACTGCCAATTCCTCAACTGATAAAGCGGGATTTTCTTCAATGGCTGCTTCAAGAATCTTTTCATCAAACTCAACTGGACGTCCGGTTCAATCTTCATCTTCAAGGGTGAAATCTCCATCTCTGAATTTTGCAAACCATCTTCTGCAAGTTCTTTCATTCACACATTCCTCTCCATAAAACTGAGTGAATGTTTCTAGCCGCTTCGGCTGCATGAATTTCCTTTTTTTGAACTCATAAAGCATTATGTGCCTCAAATGATTCTTGGGTACTTCCATGTTAGCAATATTTTTTAATCAAACAAAATTTAATTTTATTGTTCTCTGAAATAAAATTTGATCAGTTTAAATGCATCTAAACATAAAAATAATGTTCAGCTCCATTAGACATTATAAAATACTTTTTAAATTTTGTTCATTTTAACAAAAAGTTAAAATTCGGATAGAACTTATGGGATGACCTGATATATTCTTCAGCCTTTGTCAAAGTGTAATATACAGGGAGTTATATGTCCATAAAGTTCGATATTGCATTTTAAAAATTTATAACTTTATTTGTATTCAAATGATAGAAATCATTTTAAAAAAAGGATGAGAAAGAAGTATATCTATAGTCCGAATAATGTAAATTTGTATTTTAAACATCATCTCAGAAATATAGACAGATACTGAAGGGTTATTGAAACGTTTGTAATAAATATGGAGACAAAGATGACAATAGTCTGAATAATGTAAATATTGTACATAATACCTAATCACAGAAATATAGACTAATACTGTTATTTTTGTTTCTTGGAGTAAATATGCTTATTAGACTAATCTAGTTTAATAAAGTAAGATACACTTAATATCCAGGTTTCCTTTTTATCTCTCACACATTACACTTGATGAAGACTGACGAATGAATTGGCCGAAATGGTGTTAACAGTAAATATATCCGTAAACGGAAAAGATTTGAGTGCTTGAACAATGTTACGTATATTAACAAATCTTTTCAAAGTTAAAGACAATAATAATGATGATAATGTAAATGCGAAGGCCACAATGATAAGCAAGGAAGCGACGAGAATAATCATGAGAATGAAAGTGTGGTCTTTTTTCAAACATAAGTTGTAAAGGTTGAAAGTGCATGTGTTTAAAGAGGATTAAGACAGAAATTTATTGGAATGAAGAATGTTACACATATATCGAAGACTTGAAATGAATTATATATATATATATATATATATATATATATAAAATAAAAAAAGAATTGGTAACAAACCAAAAGAAAGACTATATTTTCATCATAGAATTCACTTGAAGAACTGAGGCTTTTGTATTAGTCACTTTTCTTTTTTTTTTTTCTTTATCAAATCTGAAAGGCATCACCATATTTGCAGGAGGACTAATAGTCAAAATGTGAAATAATTCTTTTCAGGAATTTTGGAAAATTTGCTAGAATTGTAATATTTTAAAATAAGATTAATATCAAGAAAAGAAAAACAAAAACCTTTTACGGGCAAGTTTATCTCAACAAAAATGTATATAAGTGTTTCTTCCTCAACACCACATAGTCAAACTAGATAGAGTAGATCTTATAATAATTATTACTATTTTACATTCTATTAGTCCTGGTCGTGGGTCTGGTTTGGTTGAACTTGTTTAGTGGCATATCAACATCTCTATGGGTTATTTAATGTCAAAATCTTGAACACAAATATATGAATTTTTAACAAGGTGTTAAAGATGTTAAACTTTACATCCAGCAGAAGGCCTCTGATCAGGAGGTTTTGAGGAGTGTGGAACCAATTTAATAATTGCTGGTGTTCCCAGGTCCAATTGACCCATGGTTTTAGCATCTGTTAGGGTCCCAGCTTATAGGCAAAAATAGTTAACTATTACCAGCAATATTTTTTGAAAAAAGTAGCCAAAAAAAAAAAAAAAACTTTTTGATAAAAATTTTTTAAAAAACATTTCAGAGAATACAATTTTGAAGGAAATATATGGAAAGAAACAGATTTTGACAAAACAAAATATTACCAATAAAAATTTTTGTTGGCATTAAATAACCCATTGAGGTTGATATGCCATAAAACAATCCAAAGAATACATACTCTATTCATACGAATCTATCCTAAAAATGTTGTCGGCATGAAATAACCCATTGAGGTTGACATGCCGTTAAACAAAATAAACCAAACCAAACAAATATATGCCTTCAACTAAATATATTTTGTACATAATTTATATTCTTTTGAAACTTTTTAGGTGACAGTTGTTTAACAAACTAGAAGACAATCATCAGGCCTGATGATTGCATCTAGCATGAAACAGACTGTTCCATTTAAGTGTTTCTTTATGTTCAATTTTATCAAAACACACGCTCTGTCTCTGATATTGAGCACTTTATCCCATAAATATAGCACATCTTAAGACTATATTTCTTCATATATATATATATATATATAATGAATTCTTTGTTTAAAATAATGAAAAGAGTCTGAGAAATTTATAGGTTATAATCTATTTCATGGTAATATGGCCATCTCTTCAAAGCTAAAAATTTGAAGAGATGGGTGTCTGATCCCGTGAAATAAATTATCACCTATGGATTTCTAAAGACTCTGCTTTCATTATTATATTTGCTCTGTTCTTACATTGGATTTATATCCTCTTTGGAATTATCCCTACTAATTATCAATAATAATAATATATATATATATATATATATATATATATATATAGTATGTACCTGATCTGTTGTACGTGTTGGTATAAACCTATTTCTTTAAGACAGGACATTATGTTGACTGTTTTTGCATTTAAATATAGTTTTCTTATGTTGATTTCCTTGTAGTACTTATGTCTTACAAAGGCTAAGTACATTCAGTTTAAATGTATTTCAATGTGACTTGCTGTCAGATGTGATAATATTTCTAGTCAGGGCCAAATTTTGACCGTTTGGAACCCCAAGGCTAATGAATTTATGTGACCATCCTCTAAAACACCTAAACCCATCTTGAATATTTTATTACTCTTGATAAATTTTAGCGACATTTATGTAGCTTGAAATAAAATTATTGATAATTTTATAAATAAACTAATTAAGCTATCTTTTGTCTGTTAATAAAAATATTCTTTAAGAAATAACTATTTTATTATTTATTGAAAATGAAATTAGCACATATAGCACACAACTGTAGTAAAAAAAAACAAAAAAAACCCAGACTTTTTATAACTAGCATTGTAATCAGACCTATAGGATCATCCAGCCTTGGGCTGCACTATATACTAGCCTATAGGATAATCTGGCCCCTGGTTGCAGTCTATACTATAGGATAATCTGGCCCTGTGCTGCAGTCTATACTAGCCTATAGGATAATCTGGCCCCTGGTTGCAGTCTATACTATAGGATAATCCGGCCCTGGGCCCCCGGCTGCAGTCTATACTAACCTATAGCATAATCCAGCCCCTGGCTGCAGTCTATACTAGCCTATAGGATAATCCGGCCCTGGGCCCTCGGCTGCAGTCTATACTAGCCTATAGAAAACCTAGCCCTGGGCCCTAAGCTGTAGCCTATACTAACTCATAAGATAATCCGGTATTGGTTCTAATAAAGACATACTTAGTATTTTTAGTAATAATAATAATGACTATAGAAATTGATTTCTCAGATTAGACTTTTTGAAATATCAAAATAATGATCGATTTGAAATTTGTTTCTTATGTATCTAGGTACATCAATAAGTCTGTAGCCTAATGATAAAAATCTCCAAAAACTAAACAATTCAGCTAAAAAAGGTCCAACTGTAAACATGCTGACATTTAAGATTAACTGTTTTCAGAGATAAATAAGCCATAGTGGTGTTAAAACTTTAAATTTAATTATGACAAGGGTCAAGTCAATTAAACTTTTACTGTATGGGTGGGGGAGGGGAGAGAGGAACCGGCCTTGATATTAAAGATGAAAAAAAGAGTGGAAAAGGAAATGACATTTAATAGAAGCCTTTCAAATTTCATTTTGTTCATTGGAATAAAAGGATGTGGAATTAAAGTTATACACAAGACGATGGTTGAGAGAGCAAAATGTGTGAAGAATGATATTTGAGGAAATAAAAAGAGAGAAAAAAAGTGATTTGCGGATGAATATAAGTCAATATTGACGGTCGACAAATCAAAAGACTTGGATGGTCTCAGTGGTCACTTATAATAATAATAATAATTGAGCAAAGTTGGGTGCTGTAGGGAGGGGAAGGCAGTTAAATGTTTGTTATTGTGCGCGCGCACGCATGATGAGAACTAAAGATAATACCACCTTTTGTGTTGAAGGATAGCACCAGTAAGTGAGAAAGTGCACGTGAAAAATAAATTATAAACATAGTAGGAGGAAGGGAAATAGTGATAAGGATGAGGAGTACGGAAAGAGGGAGAGGAGGGGTGGGGAAATAGGAGGAGGAAAAGAGAGAGACAAGCAGGAGGAGGGAAGAGAGATGAGGAAAAGGAGAGAAAGAGAGAGACGAGGCGGGAAAGAGAAGGAGGGGTGGTGGGGAAAGAGGAAGAGTAAAAAAGAGAGATGAAGGAGGACAGAGAGAGAGACACACACAAAGGAGGAGGAGGAGGAGAGAGACGATGAGGAGGAGGAGAGAGAGAGAGACGAGGAGGAGGAGGAGAGAGATCTCGTTAATAAAAAGGAGGAGAGAGACGAGGAGGAGAGAGAGAGAGAGACGAGGAGGGAAAGAGAGAGAGACGAGGAGGGAAAGAGAGAGACAAGGAGGGAAAGAGAGAGACAAGGAGGGAAAGAGAGAGACGAGGAGGGAAAGAGGAAGAAACAAGATGTGAAGGAGGAAGAAAAGAGATGAGAAAGAGAAAGAGGAGGAAGGAGTGAGAAGTTGTTATAAAAATATTGAGAGCATAAGAACAAAAAATATCTTATTACGTGAAATATTGTTTGGCATGGAAAAATCTTGGACCTTCTCCCTGAAAACTTGTTTTTCCATTTACTTTTATCCTTTGTAAATAATATACGCGGTTGTTCTTGTCGGCTCACACAAAAAAAAATACATAGACAAACAGGTAAGCTTATCTGTCGTTTAAAAGACTCCAGCCTAAAAATATTAATTAAAAGAAAAAAAAAAGTTTCTACAACATAAAAAAAAAGAAGTTGGCAATGAAGGAGGCTACAGGTTGAACTTTGTTGACAAATTAAAGTAAAGAGGTGGCATCTATGGGTGGGAGACCTGTCAACGGAAAAAAGAAGGTGGGTACAATAACAAAAACATAAAAAAATAAAATAAATAAATAAAATAGAAAGAACCCCAAAACACAACAACAACACATGCACAAGCAAAAAGAAAACAAATAAAAAATCAGAAACACTTTAAACATCAAGTTTATATTTAAAAAAAAAAAAAAAATTAAATAGCAAAAGAAAAAAAAAGCACTTAATTATTAAGAGATAGAGAGAGATATAGATACACTTAAAAAGTTACTGTTTTCCACATAATGCCAATAAGCATAAATATAAACTAACTATACAAATATAAGTAAACATTTTACTTTTAGTATACTAACAAATAATTAAATAGATAATAATCCCCAGCCGCTTTGTCTGTCTGTCATGTAAAGAAAATATCCCTTCTACCTGTGTTGAGTAGTGTTGTTTCTATTAAACAGCATATGTTCATCACCAATGAAATATAATTTTTGCATATATTTTTCTTTCTGGATTTGTCTTCAGCTTCAGTTCTTGAACATTAAAAACGTTTGTCTAAGTCACAGGTTATATATATTTTAAAAAAAAAACTGCACACACCCTCCTCAGTTTCATTTCATAACCCACTGGATAAAGATTTGGTTGGACAATATGGTGTTGATATCCAAATAAAAAAAAAAAAACATGTAGGTGAAGGAAGAGGGATATATATATATGCCGAAAGAAATTCCTCAAAAATATCCAGAATTAGGGTAATGCTGGTCTACAACTAAAAAAAAAAAAAAAAATGTTTCCGAAGATGTTGTCAGCCTTTCAATATTTGGACATAGAGAAAATAAAATGACCCTGCAATCCACAACAAACGTATCAGCTGATTTGTCGGTCTTGAAAAGAGGATGGAACAAAAATCCCATTTAACATTAGCAAACTTCTGCTGCTGGTGGGTAGTAAGAAGAAAAAGAACTTTTTTTTTTTTTTTAATAGAGGCAGGCAGGCAAAAATCACTGGGGTTTATCGTTGCATTAGGATGCGAGGATAGAAAAAGCATTGTTATATATAGTTGCAAAAAGGTGAGAATATATTGGATAAAATTTAGTCAACCGTATTTTTTTCTTTTTGCTAATATATTTGTTTCCAGAAAACCAAAATCCACAAAAAGAAACATTTCATCTCCGAAATTTAGTCAAAATTCGTAGACCAGAAGATCTGGGTTTTAACACTTTGAGGTATTTTGAGTTTACACATAACTTAAAATTCCGGGATAAAAAAAAAAGGAAAAAAAAAAAAAAATAAAAAAAAATAAAAGGTTAAGATAAAAAAAAAAAAAATTCTGAATATAGCATGTGAGGGTAAATGGTAAAATTACAGTCAGTCTAGCTTGATAAAAATATACAAGGAGAGCTAGATAATTTTTAACACTCAGGGCAGATAATTGCGTAGATTTTTACAGCAGAGTTATCGTTCTTGGTTTAAACACCAAAAAGAGAAAATTGCTTCTATTTTTTTTGTTTTTTAATAAATCGAAGCTTGAAAAATTATCGTTGTATTTTTTTTTTTAAATTTACAATGAACACAGTTGGTAGGAGGGAAGATAAATATGTAGACAGCTAGCTAAGTAAGCTTTGCCCAGGGACGAGCTATTATATGGAACATTGAAAATTAGCTTGCTGCAAGACACAAAATGGACAGACAGTACAGATAGCCCAGCAGTAGATATATCAGTTTTCCTTTCCAACTTCATCCGAGCAATATTATTAATTTTAATAACAATAGAAACACATATACAGTCCATTCAGTACATATACGTATATATGCATGTCTGTGAACATACTGAAGTAATTAGATTGGTTTCTGTATAAAATGTTCTTTTTGTACTCTATTTTATATAAAGTTTTGAATACCTTATATATATATCTTGAACAGAAATAGTAAGATCGCCTACAATGTTTTGTTTAAAAAATTAAAAGAAAGGAAGAAAAATTGAAGTCAGTTATATCATTTTCGAAGAAATTGCAAAAAAACGTTAGCTTGCTTAACCAATAACCAGAGTGGTCAGTTGAATATAGCCAGCTTTTTTTTTTATGGGATTGAGGTTGCCATGGAGGAGACTTGAGCCGGTCAAGTCACGACAGGTCCAGCCAAAGCTGAGTTCAGTTCTCATCAACTGGTCAGTGATTTTGGAAGTGTTATCCACTTTTCTGTTACTGACCAAATTAAATATTAAAAAAAAAAAAAAAGAAGTGACTATTGTCTGGCTGATCAGTTACCAGACAGATCTCTTATTAATAAAAATAATTGGCCAATAATTTGGGACTTCCATCATATCCAGTTCATTTTTTTTTTCTGTTTTGAGTATTCCTTTTTTTCCCCCATCAAAATTTGAAACTGACACTGTCTGATAGACAGTGCTGACCTTACACTCCAGAAATGTTACCTGGCCAAAATCAGGTGAATGGCAGGATACTCTTGCTAGAGAGTGTGTGTCATAGGAGAAATGGTTAGCAGTTACATCACCGCATAATCAGATGGCACACAAATTGGTCAGAGTCCTCAATGGACGCGTTGTTGTGTTTTTGTCTTTGTTCCTCATTTTTCTTTGATATCTGTTGTTGATCGTCTAAAAAAGACCAATGTCCTGCTTTAATTTTGACTGCTTCCATGCAGGCAACGAATAATAATCAGGCTTCGTCATCTTCAGCACGTCCTGCAAAGACAGAAGAAATAGATAAATGCTTCCAGAAGGAACAGCAAAAAAGACTACAAAAATAATGGGATCTCTATGCATCCCTAGCTGATAACAACTTGCAGTATTTTTCATAAATATATTATTTTTAGTACAAAAAAGAAAAACGAAAATTTTATAAACATTATTTTGCTGAAAAAATATATACAAAGTGTTCTCCAATAGTTTGTGGAATTTTAGCTTTTCATACAAAGTGAATGTAGTATAGATTTTTGACACTGCCTTTTGTGAGCAGTGAATGCTTAAAGGAGCAACTCAAAGGAAATGTTGGAAAATAGGTGTTTAAGTATTTGTTTTTTCACTCAACATCTAATTCCTTCAATTTTTGAGAATCATCTCCATCTCATATATATATATATATATATATATATATATATATATATATATATATATATATATATATATAGATAGATAGATAGATATTTGGGTAGAACAGAATAACAAGATTCTAAAACTTTTAACATTTTAAATGTTATTTTAGTGGATACCCATATTTCAGTAGACACTCCGTTTATTTTAAACACTATATTTATTTCTGTTTAATGAATTGAATATTCAAGGAATCCTTGTTTAAGAAAAATATGCACCTACTGGCAGGGTGATACAAACCCTCGTCCCTCTTTGCAGGTGAATCCATTGTTCGATCACCTTTACTTTAGAGTGACTCAACTCTGAGGGGTGTCACTAATCAAGCAAAGGTCAATACTGCCTTTAAGTGCAATACTTAAATATAGCAGACAAAAAAAAATACAGTGTCTAAAATGAAGGGAGCTTTTATTCAAATATGGGTATTAACTAAAAAAATAATGGTTTTATATATATATATATATATATATATATATATATATATATATATATATATATATATAAAAATAAAAGACTATATATATATATATATAAAATATAAAGATAGTATATATATATATATATATATATATATATATATATATATATATATAAAAAAAAAAAGTATATATATATATATATATATATATAAATATATATATATATATACTATATATATAAAAAATAAAAGTCAGTATATATATATATATAAAAATATAAAAGTCAGTATATATATATATATATATATATATATATATATAAAAATAAAGTCAGTATATATATATATATATATATATGGAGATGGAAAATATGTATTGTATGCATGCTGACAAAAACACAAAAAATGGAAATAGATCTAAGAACACAAAGGGGTCATTAAAAGATAAGAATATAGATATCTTTCTCATCCTTTCCCGGACCAGTCTTAATTGTTTTATTACACTTCACGCAGAACATATCACGGCCAGTTCAAGAAAGACATTTGGGTCACTAACACACAAAAAAGAGAATGTCTAATATCGAGAATAAGAAAAACATAAGAAAATTTAATTCCTTTTAATAACAAGTGGAAATATCCACTCTTGGCCTGATGAAGGTCGCAAGATCAGAAACTCGTGTAGCAAAATTATGGAAAATAAAGCATAATATATTTTTAAAAAAAATCCACATTACAACCAAAAACTTTTGCGGTTTCTCTCTATTTTTTATTATATATATATATATATATATATTTGTATTGGATGAATGAGTTGTGATCGTGATTAACTAGGACTAGGATAGTTAGCGAGGACCACCTTTTTCCCCACTTTCCCTTCGGCCATATGCCATAATTATTGTATTGTATACAATAATAAATAATTATATATATATATATATATATATATATATGTATGTATGTGTCCGTGGACTCTCCCATCATTGATCAGCATGGGCTGTTAACCTACACCTACTGGGGACCCTTTTACAACATGAGAGTCAGGCAACTCAGTTCCTAGGAACTGACAGCCAGACAATCTGCACATGTGGTTTGATTTTAGTGGCGAAGGCTTTGTGCAGAATCCACCACACTTTTTGAAGGGCCGAATACAGAGATCTGGTGCACCATGTGCCACAAGGTCCCTTAACGACTCTCCGCAGGTTTTGAATTCAGAGTTGTCCTTCTCCTAGAGCAGTTGCCATCCAAGGCTATAGAAACCAGTCTGTCTTGCTATTTACCCATAGTTGGGGTGGGGGGAGAAGAAGAGAACTCATACCTTTCCCAAGAGTATTAGCATGTAAGTGAATGTAATGGATTCGACCGGAATTTGAACTCAGCTCTCTGATACCTCAATCCGAGTTGTTATCCATTACTCTACCATGCCTATATATATATATATATATATATATATATATATATAGTTTTAATATATGCTATATTTATGGGTTAATGTACTCAATAAGGGATAGAGCATATGTAAACATAAAAGTGGACATTGAAGTCAACACCCAGAGGTTTCATGCTTAAATGCAATCGTCACACCATTTGTGTTGTGTTTTTGCTCAACTATTTATATATAAAGGTCAGTAATGTTTTTTGGGTAGTCTATGATATTGACGTCTAATGGTAGCAGTTATATTTCGACTTATTCTAGGGTCTATTGGGTGGAAATAATTGTAGATCTAGATGCAGTTTTTTTGCTATTTATAGTTTTGTTTGTTAACTATATTAATTTATTATTATTTTATTATTGGCTGTTATTACATTTACTTTTTTTTTGTGTGCATACATGATTTGTTAATTTGTTTATTATTTACTTAATTTATTTTCTTATTTATTGGTTTGGATTAATTTATTTCACCTATTTTTGTTTAGCTATTTTATCTTATTTAATTATTTTTGTTTAATCTTGTTCATTTTTAGTCTTTTAGTCAGTTTTTAAGTAAGGTAATAAAAATTTGTTTTGCGTCTGCATTTTGAGGTTAAGACCTATATATATAGTTGAGCAAAAACACTATGCATATGGCCTAACAATTGCATTTGAGCATGAAACTGACTGTTACCTCTCAGTGTTGACTTCAATGTCCTCTTACATATACATATATCTAAACTTTAAGTAAGAAAGATTACCCATCTAAAAATAATTACTAATTGCATTCATAAATTAGATTCAAACAGATAAAGATGTTACCGTAACTGTCTTTTACAATATTAAAAGAGTACTATTGGTCGGGTAAACAAACTGTTATAGTTTAAAACTTTTTTTAATGTGTTCTCTATGAATGTGTTAATAAATACAGTATTTAACTTATATTAAATCCCTAAATTATTTGTAAAAAAGTTAAATATTTAAATTCCTAGCAAGCATCAAATTAATTTCTTCGTGGATTTTTTTAGACACCTGAATTACTATCAAACATTAAAATCTATTTTTTTACATAAATTGCTAAAACTTACCACCCCTCTCTTTCATATGTAAACCCCATTTACAGCCTTTTTCTCTTTACTTCCCCCTTCTTTCTTTTTCCTTTTTCTTTTCTCCCCTCCCATTCCAATATATCACTTCCGTTAAGTTAACCATTTAAATAGGTCAAGGTCTGGTCGCTCCTCTTCCCCCAATACTAAGTATGATTGAGAGAAATATTAAATTAAACCCTCTCTAAACTCTACCATGTCTATCTAACACTCCTTATTACACTCTCTTTGAAATTAGAAAAACTTACACTACCCATCAATTTTCATTTCATTTTCGTTTCATCTTTTGGAAGTGCTATCTGATAATCCAGCATCCTTTAAAAGGGCTCTGGTGAAATAAATTATTATAATGGAACCTTAAAGTGGTCTGTTTTTCTTTATATATATATATATATATATATATATATATCTCATAATCAGGATCTTTTATAAAATTAAGTGTTGATTCCAATAAGTATTAAACTGAATTTCTGATTCAATAATTATTGCTCTATTGAACACTTTATTGGCAAAAATTCTGTCCTTCTTGATATAAGTTGAATTACTAGATAAGAATTCCCTGTAGATTATCCATATTGATATACACCTGATGAAGGCTGGAGGGCACAACAGCAGAAAGTTTGTGATAACAACAACAAAGATGAGGACAATAGTCAGAAAATAAATAGTGTAAATATTGTAAAATGTTTTTAGAAAAAAATAATCCCTTATCAGTTGGTGAAAATTAATCTGATTTTGGAAGTATAGCTTATTTTGATCACATGAAAAATTTCAGAAGGTTATTTTGGTTACAGTTATAAGAAAAGGCAAAATGAAAACATCTTACCATAAATTCTTCATCAGAAAGGTAAGACTCCAGCTTCAGAGGGTCGACATCTTCAGGAAGAGGTCTTTCGAGCAGTTCTTTGAAGGTGTATCTGACTAAACTCAGTCGATTTAGCTCTTCTTCTACACTGACCAAATCTCCATCATATTTTCCATCCTAGGCACAAAGTAAAAAAATAAAAAATAAAAATAAACAGAATTGGTTATTTTATAGGCAGTTTTCCATTTTCAAAAATTTTTGTTGCCTTATTTTTATCTGTGAAGAGATCGTTCACAATGTACCATAGAGGACGACAAAGTAAAAAACTACTAAATTATTATGTAATCATAACAGTTTAGTACTCTTTTGTTTGTTTCTAAAAAAGATTTCCTGTTTCTTAATATTTTGCCTAGTTTTTGGAAGGCATCTTTCACTATACTAATGTGCTTTTTGATCTACTTCTGAGTTAGTAGTGACAGTGGTGGACTGCATCTAAAAATATTGGTTGCCAGGAGAAAAAAAAAAGGGCCTACTCAAAACTACAATACTATCATTTAATTTTAATAATGGATAAATAAAACTTTCAAAAAATACATATGGAAAAAAAATTTAAGTAAGATTTTTGTCAAAAAAAAAAAAAAAAAAAAATGTGTATTTCCTCATAATTACAGTGTCCATGTACTGTACATATTACTGGCAGTAGATACAAAATGTAAATACGGAATGCTAGAATTCAATTTTTAATTTTAAGTAATTGGTTAATATTTTTAAATAGTTTACTGCCCAAATTAACCATTAAGAGATAGATCAAAAGCACAATAGTGCATTGCATGCAGTCCACTATATTAAGAGCAATCATTTGTGTTCACAAGATGATTATTCGAATCTGCCAATAATTGCTTTCAATTCATCTAACAATTCCTTTGCAATGGATAGCAATGTATGATTCCAAATTCTCCTCAGACAATGAAATTCTTAACCTTGTCTTTATGATCTTTAGCTTTGAAAATGTTCTCTCACATAAAGTTTATATTAACATAGAAAATAATAAAAAATAATTTATTCAGGTAGATGGCATAACCAAATATGTTTCTTTGGCCAATTGCTTTTAGATTTATTTATAAATATAACATTTATGTTGCATTCAATTTGTTTGCATAACTGTTGTGGTGTTCTCCCTCATCTATGTTAGACTCTTCCACCTACTATAAGATTAGTAGGAGAGAAGGCCTTGGGGGAACAGTCAAATAGATTGAACACTGGGTCAACCAACACACACTCACTAGTCGTGTAATACTCTTCTGTTGTATTTACTGTTTAATATATGATATATCTGCAACACTTGTTTTGATATTTCTTCAACTATTTACTTGGTCACAACAATAATAAAAGCTGAGATTCCAAAAACAAGTTATTATCAATGTTTTCAACAAATTCTAAGCTGGAAATAACATGGTATATTGCTCATATAAATATATCCTGAAAACTTTATGAACATTGTTAATAATTGCTTTTTGGTGAAAATGTTGACTTACATCATCAAAATCTGATAGTGTAGTCAAGAATGATTTGTTGAGGAATCAGACTGAAAGTTTCTTTTTGTTACAGAATTTTAATTTCAGTGAAGCAATTAATATGACTAATAAATTAATGTGGTGATTAAAAATAAAATGCGTAATAGACATTTTTTTTTCTTTTTTTATAAACTTTTAAAAACAAGCCAGAATCATTTGTTTACATGTATTATTTGTTTTTAATGATTGGAAAGTGTTGTGTAGGAACCTACCACCCCTCTTGAAGATGAACTTGTCTACAAACAAGGACGTTAAATAGTGGCATGTCAAAAGACAGTGTCAGAGAAGTTCTGGGCTGAGTTAGTTATAGACTACTCAGGCGATTTCTGTACCAACTTACCAACCGAATAAACCCCATTTTATTGTTACATGTTATTTGGCGTTTGTCTTTATTAACCCCAAATTAACATCATAACAGAAAGTGGAATAGATTTTATGAAACAAAAGAAATTCAGTTCCAAACCTTGAGTGAAAGTTCCTTGACAGTTTCATCAATGCTCCAAAAGGGGAAGATATTGATGAATTTCAATGGCTCAAGACCGGCATATACCAAATATGGCTTGATTGGAGCAGAAAGATTCTTGGCTGAAAATAAAAGAAATAAAAGCAGAATAATGAAAAATATTTGAAGAGGAGAAGGAAGAAAAATTGAAGTCAGTTACATCATTTTCGAAGAAATATAAAAAAAAACGTTATTTGTTTAACCAATAGCCAGAGTGGTCAGTTGAATATAGCATTATTTTTTTTTTTATGGGATTGAGGTTGCCATGGAGGAGACTTTGAGCCGGTCAAGTCACGACAGGTCCAGCCAAAAGCTGAGTTCAGTTCTCATCAACTGGTCAGTGATTTTGGAAGTGTTATCCACTTTTCTGTTACTGACCAAATTAAATATTAAAAAAAAAAAAGAAGTGACTATTGTCTGGCTGATCAGTTACCAGACAGATCTTTATTAATAAAAAAATAATTGGCCAATAATTTGGGACTTCCATCATATCCAGTTTTTTTTTTTTTCTGTTTTGAGTATTCCTTTTTCCCCCCCATCAAAATTTGAAACTGACACTGTCTGATAGACAGTGCTGACCTTACATCCAGAAATGTTAATGGCCAAAATCAGGTGAATGGCAGGATACTCTTTTGCTAGAGAGTGTGTCATAGGAGAAATGGTTAGCAGTTACATCACCACATAATCAGGTGGCACACAAATCGGTCAGAGTCCCCAATATTGTTGTTTGTGTTTTTGTCTTTGTTCCTCATTTTTCTTTGATATCTGTTGTTGATCGTCTAAAAAAGACCAATGTCCTGCTTTAATTTTGACTGCTTCCATGCAGGCAATGAATAATAATCAGGCTTTGTCATCTTTTACTGTCAATTTTACAGGATTAAAAGAAAAAAAAAATTAAGTAAATATTTGTAATTCTAGAAGTGCAGATAGTGTAATGGTTATGAGTGCAAAAAGTAAAAAAGATGATTAAAGTTCAAATCATGACCTTGTATACTGCATTCTCTTTCATACTATTTCTCTGGGAAAGGTATCAGTCCATCTCTTCTTTCTCCAGCTATAGATTAAATAACAAGGTAAACTAGGCTCTCTCGACATGAGCAGTAGCTAGTCTAAAAGAAGGACTATTCTGAATTCCAAACCATGGAGAAGCCAATAGGAAACCTGTACATTATCTTTCCAAAGATGTGATGGCATGACATTCTTTATTTATTTCTTTTATCATTTATATAGTTTTGTGTATATCTTAGTAGTATAAAAGTCTCTCTGAGAACAAAGCATATTAGTCAATCCTTTTCCTTTCAGCTCTTCTGTCCCATATGTGAAATATAGTGTTATTATATTACGGATATGATAATGCTCATAATGGGGAAAATATAAATAGGAGCATAAACCTTTTTTCTAATCTCCCCCATTACAAGGTCATTCAGAAATAGACCCCAGGTTATTGTGAAAGTTATCATAATCAAAGAATTGACGTTTAGGAGTTTTGAAATTGCCAAGGAAATACCTTGATCCTGAAAAGTTTCAGAACAAGAATGATAAAATGCTGTTGGGTCTGTAAAATGCATCTTCTGCCATATATAGAGATAGGTCACATAATATGAGGTGGTCTCTCATTGGTCAATTAAACCATGTGGGTGTTTGAAAAAAGCTGATATAAAAAAAAAAAAAAAAAAAAAAAAATGGAAAGAGATTTGGACCTGCTCCACCATCAAGGGTACCAACTACCATGGTTTAAAGAGACAGGTTATCCGGCCTTTATTTCATCCCACCTGATAGGTAAATCTGCCTGGCATATTCTTGATATATAGAAAAGTACATTGTGTTTATATTAATCCTGTTATCTATGCTTTAAAATGTAAATAAATAATTTTTATATAAATGTTGATAAAGTTCTATGGTTTGTTTTTGTTTTACAGCATATCAAACCTCAATGTGTTATTTAATGAAAAAGATTTTTTATTTTTAAGAAAGTAAACCTTGATATAAAAGAGTATTAAAAATGACTGAAAGTTTGAATATCCGGTAAGACTATTTTCATACATTAACACAGGCTCTAATTTGGGACCAGAGAAAATCTCTCTTATATATACAAGTTTGTTACTTCATAAATGCTAACGTACTAGGACTTTGTAATCATAGATACCAATTATAATATACTGATGAATAATACTTGTATCAGACATCTTAAGAATAATACTCATAGTAATAGTACTTTGTATAGTGAGAAGAGACTAGCGGTAGGAATAGTAATAGAGATAAACTAGGAAAAGCGAACAAATCAGATGTCATATGACTTCCGCTACATAAGTGTTTCCACTATTGTCACATGATCTACCTAATGAATAATGAGATTGCCTGTGTTTATTTACTTGCGATCTATGTTCAACCATTTAGTGCTGGTATTAAAATCTATTTTTACACCTTCATAGTATTTTGACCCCGGTTTGGAAGGTTAACTATTTGCCCATAGCTGGGACCCTAACAGGTGCTACCACCTCAGGTCAGGGCAATTAGGAACACCAAAATTAAGAGGTGGTTCCATGCTCATCAAAACCTCCCGATCAAAGATGATTTTGCTATTGGACGAAGTTTAACGTCTTACCCAGGACACAGATAAAAGTTTATTTTATATCCAGGATATGATAAAGCTTTATTTCTTATTCATGTTAACCCAAAAGCAAAGTGGGACTATAACAATACTGCCATTGATCAATTAAATTTTATTGAAGATTAAAAAAAAAAAAAGGAAACTGAGGATGGTCAGAGAATAGACCAGGTGAATTGTGATAAAGACAACAGATATGAAGAAACTGTTTCAAAAAAAATCAATGTGCAATAACAGCTTCAATATTATGGAAGACACACACAAAAAAAAAAAGAAAGAAGATAGAAAATATTTAATTTAATGATTTTGTAAAGAGTCCAAAGACCAAAGAACTCTGGATACTGACCTTGGCAGTAATCAACTGCAGTTTGCATGGCACAGTGTCTTTCGACCATGAATCGGGCTGGAGCTGATCCAGTGAGGACGTTTTCAATCTCTTCGTCACCCTCTGGCCACCAGCCCTGCCACAGATATACCTCATAGCCATTGTCCAGCAAGAATAAAGCTGAAAATATAAAGAAAAAATAAAAACTCATGTCATACGTGGAGTCAACTTTAGAATTTAAAAAAAAAAATCTCTCTTGTTCTATTCAAAAACAGAAAATGAAGAAATTAACTTTTAAAGAGAGGATAAAGATATTTTTTTTTATTTTATTTTATTTTTTAAGCATTACGCCCCAAGCAAAGGCGTGAAGCCACTAAGATGCAGGGGGTTGCAGAAGATTTGGAGCGAGAGCAGATAGGAGTGATAGAAGAAAGGATGAGGAGAAGGATAGTGGATAGATCAAGGTAACTGGAAGTGTCGGTTGACATTACATTTGAATAGTTGGAGATTATAGCTTTCAGGGAAACAGTAATTGGGAAGGGTGTTCCACAGGCGAGAGGTGCGAGGTATGAAGCTATTGGAGTAGAAGAGACGGTTACATTTAAAAGTTTCTACAGTGTAAGGGTGAGAGCGGGATGCCAGCCTCGTAGGGCGCTTGAATTCATGGAGTCTGGGAACCAGTGAAAGCAGCTCATTGGAGCAATTACCATGAAAGTATTTGTAGAAAAGACAGAGACTTGATTGTGTGTCTGTGAGAGAGTGACTGCAGACGAGACACCAGATCAGGGCCAATTACATTACATATCCGTCTCTGGATCTTGTCAAGAACTCTGAGGTAAACAGAAGGTGCCCCAGACCATATATGGCAGCAATACTCCATGCAAGGGTGAATGGTTGATTTGTATTATCTACCGAATGATTTTAATTTGAACTTTATAAGTATTGAATGTGTTAGTTCCAATCCTGAACAATTACAAAACACTTTCCTATTCCCAATTTATAGGTAAAACAACACAAATGCATAATGATTTCTTCCTGATTAATAAAATAGGCGGTTTGGGTTTCATATGAAAATTTTCCTGGTCTGTCTTGTCTTGAAGTCAGAACACTAAAATTTTATTTATCATTTTTTAATTTTTAGTTTGGGAAGCACAATGTTATTAGTATGACCTGATATTTCAGTTTCAGTCTGTTTCCCCATCACTAGATTTTTTTCCAATCTGGTTAGGAATTTGATCTGCAAAACACTTTTTCCTCCTCCTCAATTTATAATAGATTTAAAAAAAGCATCTAATTTCTTCTGAGACAATAAAATAGGTCAGTTCTCGGTTTCATATGACTCAGTCCTGGTCTGTCTTGTCTTGAAGTCAGAATGTTGTGTTTGTTAATCCAGATTTGCTCTTGTGTGTCAATCCCAATTCTTAGTTTGTTCACTTTTCACCGTATTACCGTTGTTTTGCCTTGCATATATCGTTTTGCTTGCTTTATATTAGTTTTTACCCTGTTCTTTTTGTTTATTGCAAATATCCTCAATTTTGTTTATTGGGCAGTTCTGTCATTTATTTATAGTTAACTATGGCCACTCATTCTACAGAATATTTTAGAAATTTTAAAAAGTGTTAATCACTTGGAAGCAGCTAACAAGATATAGAGATATACAATGAGTTTCTTCACCTATTAAAATGGTGGGGAGACAGGGCCCCATAGTTATGCATAGAGCCAGTGTGGTAATGACCCAGCCTCACCAGGCAGAGAGGTTCCTCAACTGAAGTCAAGTTCAAGGCAGAGTGAAATCAACAGCTACATGTGAATAACCAAGGCTAGCTTTAAAGTTGGAAGACATCATCATCATCATCATCATCATATGTGGTTTGACCTGGAGTTGAATGAATGCTGACAGGTTTACTTGTCCAAGACACGCTATGCACGAATGAACACCTGTCTTTCAACCAAAATATGGTGAGAAAATATTGAGGTGCTTAGCTTAGCTGTGCAGTGACCCTATGACCACATGTAGTCAGGGGACTGAGGAGGAGGGTGGTGTCTTCTTATGTAAGTAATAAACAGAAGAAGGATTCCAAACAATTTATACATAATGCTGAAGGCAGAAAAAATTTTTGAAAGAGAAAATTAAAATGCAATTTCATAAACATAGCTGCAAAAAAAAACATGAAAAACCCTAGACAGCTGAAAAAAAAAGTGAGAGGAGAAAAGGAAAGAAGAAGAAAAAAAGAAGATTTTAAAAAAAAAAGAGAGAGAAAGAAGAGAGAAAGAAAGATAGAAAAAAAAAAAGAAAAAAAGAGAGAGAAAAAAAGAGAGAGAAAAAAAAAGAAAATTAAGAAAAGAGAGAAAAAAAAAGAGAGAGAAAAAAAAGAGAGAGAAAAGGAAAGAAAAAGAGAGAAAGAGAAAAAGAAAAAGAAAGAGAGAAAGGGAAAAAAAGAAGAGAGAAAAGAAAAAAAAATAAAAGAGAAAAAAAGAAAAAAAAAAGAAATGAAAAAGAGTAAAAAATAAAGAAAAAAAAAGAAAAAAAAAGAAGAGAGAAAAGAGAAAAAGAAAGAAAAGAGAAAAGTTTTAAAAAAAAGAAAAAAGAGAAAGAAAAAAAGAGAAAGAATTAAAAAAAAGAGAAAAAAGAGAGATCAAAAAAAGAGAAAGAAAAAAAAAGAGAAAGAAAAAGAGAGAAAAAAGAAAAAAGAAAAAAAGAAGAAAAAAAAAAAAAGAAAAAAAGAAAGAAAAGAAAAAAAGAAAAAGAGAGAGAGAAAAAATGAGAGAAGAAAAAAAAGAAAAAGAGAGAAAAAGAAAAAAGAAAAAGAAAGAAAGAGAAAAAAAAAAAGAAAAAGAAGAAAGAGAAAAAAAGAGATGAAAGAGAGAGAAAAAGATTTTGAAAAAAAAGAGAAAAAAAAGAGAAAAAAGAAAAAAAAAAAAAGAAAAAAAAAAAAAAAAAAAGAAAAAAGAATTGAAAAAAGAAAGAAAAAAAAAAGAAAGAGAGAGAAAAAAAAGAAAAAAAGAAAGAGAAAAAGAAAAAAAGAAAGAAAGAGAAAAAAGAGAGAAAAAAAGAGAGAAAGAAAGAAAAGAAGAGAAAAAAAAAAAAAGAGAAAAAAAAAAAAAAAAAAAGAAAGAAAAAAAAAAGTTTTAAAAAGAGAGAGAAAAAAAAAAAAAAAAAAAAAAAAAAAGAAAAAAAAGAAAGAGAGAAAGAGAGAGAAAAGAGAAAAGAGAGAGAAAAAAAAAAGAGAAAAGAGAGAGAGAGAAAAAGAGAAAGAGAGAAGAGAAGAGAAAAAGAAAGAGAGAAAAAAAAAAATGAGAGAAAGAGAAAGAAAAAAAAGTAAAGAGAGAGAAAGAAAAAAGAAAAAAAAGAGAGAGAGAAGAAAAGAAGAGAGAAAAAAGAGAAAAAAAAAAAGAGAGAAGAAAAAAAGAGAGAGAGAAAAAGAGAGAGAGAAAAAAAAAAGAGAGAGAGAAAAAAAAAAAGAGAAAAAAGAGAGAAAAAGAGAGAGAGAGAGAAAAAAAAGAGAGAGAGAAAAAAAAAAGAGAGAAAAAGAAAGAAAAAGAGAGAGAAAAAAAGAGAGAAAGAAAAAGAGAGAAAGAGAGAGAAAAGAGAAAAGAAGAAAAAAAAGAGAGAGAAAAGAAAAAAGAAAAAAGAGAAAAAAAAGAGAGAGAGAGAAAAGAGAGAAAAAAGAGAGAAAAAGAAAAAAGAGAGAAAAGAAAGAAAAAAAAGAAAAAAGAGAAAAAAAAAAAAAAGAGAGAAAAGAAAAAAAGAGAAGAGAGAAAAAAAGAAAAAGAGAAAAAGAGAGAGAAGAAAAAGAGAGAGAGAAAAGAAAAAGAGAGAGAAAGAGAAAGAAAAAAGAGAGAAAAAGAAAAAGAAAGAAGAAGAAAAGAGAAGAGAGAGAGAGAAAAAGAGAGAGAGAGAGAGAAAAAAGAGAGAAGAGAGAGAGAGAAAAAAGAGAGAGAAAAGAGAGAGAAAAAAGAGAGAAAAAAAGAAAAGAGAAAGAGAAAAAAAAAAAAAGAGAAAGAAAGAAAGAAAGAGAGAGAAAGAAAGAAAGAGAAAAAAAAAGAGAAAAAAAGAAAAAAAGAAAGAGAGAGAAAAAGAAAGAGAAAAAAAGAGAGAAAAAGAGAGAAGAAAAAAATTTTAAAAAGAGAAAAAAAAAGAGAGAAGAGAGAAAAAAAGAGAAAAGAGAGAAGAGAAGAGAGAAAGAGAAAGAGAGAGAGAGAGAAGAGAAAAAGAGAAAAAAAAGAAAAGAGAGAAAAGAGAAGAGAGAAGAGAAGAGAGAAGAGAGAGAAAGAGAGGAAGAAAGAGAGAGAGAGAGAGAGGAGAGAGAGAGAGAGAGAGAAAGAGAGAGAAAAAGAGAAAAAAAGAGAAAAAAGAGAGAGAAAGAGAAGAGAAGAAAGAGAGAGAGAAGAAGAGAGAGAAGAAGAAGAGAGAGAGAGAGAAAAGAAGAAAGAGAGAGAGAAAAGAGGAGAGAGAAGAGAGAGAAAAAGAGAAGAGAGAGAGAAAAGAAGAGAGAGAAAAAAAAAAAAGAGAAAAAAAAAGAAGAGAAAAAAAAAAGAGAGAGAAAAAAAGAAAGAAAAAGAAAAGAGAGAAAAAGAAGAGAGAGAAAAAAGAGAGAAAAAGAAGAAAGAAAAAGAAAAGAAAAAAAAGAAAAAGAGAAGAACTTTAAAGAGAGAGAGAGAGAGAAAAAAAAAGAGAGAGAGAGAGAGAAGACAAAAGAAAGAGAGAGATTAGAGAGAAAGAAGAGAGAGAGTGAGAGAGAGAGAAAGAAGAGAGAGAGTGAGAGAAAGAGAAAGAAGAGAGAGAGAAAGAAAAAAAGAAGAGAGAGAGAGAAAGAGAAAGAAAAGAGAAAAGAGAGAAAAAGAAAAAAGAGAGAGAGGGAGGGGTTTTTAAGGAAAAGAAAGGAAAACATTAACAAATAAAACAGAAACATTACAAAAGGGAGATTAAAATTATCTCAACACAATTGTCATTAAAAAAAAATAAAAATAAATGGTTTTACTTATAATTAAAAAAATAAAGATATTTACTCAGGTAGTGTTCTACAAAAGAAACCACAGAGGAATTAGCAATGCTGTATTGCCTATATCAGAAATTCTAAATTTTATCTGTGTATACTCATTGACCTCTTGACAAATTGAAAGATAATAAAATAAAAATTTACTAATATAAGTTTCTCCTAATATATTTGCATGCACACACACACACACATATATATATATATATATATATATATATATGTATATATATTAGTTTCCCATTGCTAGAAAATGAAGCACTGTTTTATTATAAACTACCAGCACTCATTGTGCTTATATATATATATATATATATGTGTGTGTATACATATATGTGTGTGTGGGTGTGGGTGAGAATATATATATATGTGTAAATGTGTGTATGATAGGATAAGGAACAAATAAGAAATGTTTATATATTTAACATGTTTTGCATTTATTTAAGCTTCATCAGAAATGGAGGAAAAAAGAAAATTTTTATTTTTGTGTCTTTGTTTTTCATTGGTTAAGTAGACCTCATGTGTATTTGTCTTGTCAGGTAGCATTTGTATGTATAATTCCTGTATTTGTGTATCATAATTCTAGTTAGTCTATGCAGAATTTTCATCATGTGTGTTTATGCATCTAGTGGCATTTTCATTTCTCTCTGGCAGTGTCCGTATGTTGACTGGGTAAATTGTGTGGGAGTGAAAGAATTTAGGTTACACTCATTGTGGTTGTAGGTAGACTGATCTTAGACTCTTGAAGTATGGATTTTATAAAGTTGGTGGTATAATAAAGTGTATTTGGCATGTGTTCACTGATGGAAAAACATTTATCAGGATTCCTTCTAAGTATTTTCTAGATAATAAATTATGTTCTTTTCTTATTAGAGTGGCACTAATTAAATTGAAATTATGGTCGGCTTCATTTCCGTTTGTTACTTGCAAGTTTAAATGATCTTGGATGTTTTACTTATATAACTCTTCTAGCATTGCAGGTATTTTTTTATTATAAATCCTGGTATCTAATGTGATGTTGGATTTATGTTTCTTGCTAACTAGATCTCTGATCATCTTGGAAGTGGTGGTAATGTTATCAGGGTAAGGGATAACTAGTTCTCAAATTTTGCCAATTTCACTCATTGTCAAGAATTAGTCATGTGATGAATTTCTACTGCTGTTTTAAATACGATGTGTTAGTTATTTGGTGCAGAGGTAAATGGCTATGCACTTCAAAGGCCAAGGTATTCTACTCTCATGTATGGCATGCTGCCTTTTGTTAAAAAAGAAAAAAAAAAGAAGCAATTAGCCTCTCTACTGAATGCTGTCAGCAAACATGTCAATCAGACAAGCATCTTCCAGCTGAACAGACTGCTTTAGAGAACATACAAATCAATTTTACTCCATGTAAGATGCAGTAAGTAGACTGTTTTAAAAACAGCCGATTTTTCTGTGACAGTAATAGTAAAACTGACCTTGGGTGGCTACAAGAGAGTCACATGAACGTCGTAACTTTTTGAGAGTTGATTTTTCAGGAAGGAGACTTTCTAATGTTATCGGTCTGGAGGGGAATGACCCCAGCGTGTGGTACCTTTGGAAAGTGCCTTAAAACCATACAATGGGTTGATCCAAGTCTTGTGAGTGAAATTGGGTAAACAGAACACTTGGAGCCGTCAATAGCTGTGCTAGCACGAAGTCACAAGTCATCATGACCGAGGGTTTGAGTGTGTTGGTGTTGTTCAGATTGTTGATCATGCTAGATAACATGTTCTCTTCCAGAAACTGTCACTAAGGTCTGCTCAGCATAGTTTCAGTATAAACCACAGGTTGGCTCTGTGGGTGTTGAACAAACACAAATGTGCCTGAGCAAGAGTCTGCAATAAGGATTAGTAAGCCACCCTAGTAGACATGTATCCTTGAATACGAGTACCAGCTAATATATATATATATATATATATATATATATATATATATATATATATATATATGTGTGTGTGTGTGTATTCACAAATGTGATGATATCTCAATCTTTATTATTTTGATAATAAATTATTTGTATATTTGTATTTGTATCACATCTTGTTGATTTGAAGATCAAACTGCCAAGTCATAAGCAATTTCCATTTCTGGAAATGAATTGTTATGACGAATATATCACCCTAACTAACTATTCCTTAAATAAGGTGGTTAAAAGTGGGTTGCATCCAACAATACTCCACACAAAAGGCAGTGAAATGGCATAGATAAATCTCCAAAACCAGCTCCAGAAGCTGAGCAGGAAGGTAATGTTGGGTGTGCAGTGGGACCATCCAAGTATTATTTAGAGTTATTAAAATGCAATGAAACATTAAATGCACATTTATACATCCAGCAGCTGCAACATGTTCATAAAAATTTGGTCAAAAAGTGCCATGCACTTGACAATAGAACAAATGTGGTTCTCCTCCATGACAATGCAAGATGGCATGTAGCAAGAATATGTTAAGAAGAAGAAAAAAAAACTGTTTTGCTTCACCTGTCATATTCGCCTGATTTTACACCAACCAATTATCAGCTTTTTTGATCATTGCAAAATGCTTTGACTGGGAAAACTTTTTCAAATGAAAACTAAATTCATGAGAAACTTTCTCACATCAAAACCTGCAGGAATTTCCCTCGAAAGCAATTGAATGAGACACTACAAATAATGGTGAATATAAATGCAATGGACCAAGGCAATTCCTATCCCAGGCCTCGACACTGTGCTTAGACCTGTGAGTGACTGGGGGCGAACAGTTAACATGTGAAAGTTCACTGCTGGAATTGGATTAAGAAATTAATTTCACTCTAAAAGCTAATGAAGAGCTACCTGATGAGTGACAACAAGTCATTATAAATAATAGTGAATATATAAGTAATATAAATAATTGGACTTAATTCTTTTTAAAGATTAAATTCGATAAACAAAAATGGAAATTATTTATGATTCAACATAATAGGCTGAGTGAATTTTATAACTTTTATTTTTAATTTTTAACTATGACAACAAACACTAGAATATCTTTTTTTTTCTTTTTTTTTTTTTTTTTTTTAAAAAATGTTCAGTCATTGGGCCTGCAATCATAGTGTGTTTTGGGAAAGATCACCTGATGTAGTCCACCACCCTTCAGATTAGTTTTTGAGTTGTTCTTTTCCTACCTAACCAGGGATAAACTGTCACACTGCCCTGCTATAACTTTTGGGGAGAGGAGAGATGGAGTCATGCCTTTCCTAAGGGTATTAATATGAAATGAAAGCAATGGCCTTAGTTAGGATTTAAACTCATTTGACTGAATCCATTTCCTGTGATAAAGTATCCAGTCTATCTGTTATTTTACTCTTTCTTAGGGAGAAGAGAGTTGGGGTCATGCCTTTACTGATGGCATTAGTGCAAAATGAAAGCAAACAACCTTAGTTTGAATTTGAACTCTGTTGTCTGAATCCATTTTCTATGATGATAATCAAGATAATTGTATTGAAATATTAAAAGCTGAACAAAAAACATAAAACCTTAAGGATATAGATTATAGATATTACATATAGATTACATATATTACATATAGAGATTACATAGAGATTACATATATTACATTACAGGTTTGGGTTTCAAGTTCAAATTTTGTGTTGGCAAAGGTTTTAAAAAAGTCATTATAATGAACTTACCTGGTTGTGAAACTTTGTAGAGATCTGATTGTAAGAATGGATAGGGAGCAATGATATCTGGCATGATAGTAGGGTTTCTTATTTCTGTGACATCGATGACACCAGACACACTGGTGAATTGGAATAAGCGAAGAGAGAAATTGTACGAACGTGGGTCTGGAAAAAAAAAAGAAAAGAATATCTGATACACACAGCTTTTATTATAGAAATAAATAGATACAAAGAGACTGAGATAGATAGATAGATAGATAGATAGATAGATAGATAGATAGATAGATAGATACAAAGAGACTGAGATAGATAGAGATAGATAGATAGATAGATACAATGAGATAGATATGAAAGAGAAGAGACTGAGATAGATAGATAGATAGATAGATAGACAAAGAGAGAGATGAGAGATAGATAGATAGATAAATAGAAGAGAGATAGATGAGATAGATAGATAGATAGATACAAAGAGACTGAGATAGATAGATAGATACAAAGAGACTGAGATAGATAGATAGATAGATACATGTATGGTATATAACAGAAATAGTGTGGTATATGCATCATTATATACACACAAACAAATTATATTATATATATATATATATATATATATATATATATAATGCAATGAGAATGAAAGTAATATATAAATTCTAACGTTCACGGCATTAATTCAAAAGAGGGCTCTGATAATATTTGTAGACCAATAATTATTTATTATAATTTTATCATATAGACAAAAACAGTTTACTCACTACTGGCACAACTCCATGCCAATCTTCATCAGACCTAGACTGACTGCATGATGAAGATTGGTACTGAGTTGTGCCACTTTCAAATAGACTATACCCACATGAGGTAATTTTGGAGTTTTGCTGTATAATATAAATGCTCTGTTATATTAAATACATTGAGCTCTCTCTGTAGATTAGTTTTATTTGATATTACTAGGATCCACATCTGTCCTATATATATATATATATAAAATTACCAAGATTTTCTAAAAAAGAAAAGTTTCTAAAATAATTTCATTCATTTGTGAATTTTTTGATTTTTCCAAGAATTGCCAAATCAATGTTTTTCACCACAAAAAGACGCTAAAATTACTTGTACCAATTTATTTACCTGCTGATACAAGAAAAAAATTTTTAAACCAAAATTTTAAAGGATCTAAAAAAAAGGCTTGATAAATATAATTTAATAATAAAAAATCCTTTCAACAATAACAAAGATTTTGACGATAAAACATTTTTTTAACTTTGGGACATTTTTCATCGAAAAAATGTACCTATACAAACAACTTTTATTTACAAACACAAAGGTTATAGAGTTAAAATATATTAGTTAATGGCCATTGTTGTCTCCAGTATATTTTGAAATTTCATGCCAAAGATGAGTAAAAATATCAACTTACCATTGAGGAGAGACATGTATTGGCTGCGATCCCTGCTCCGTAAGGCCATCCAAAATTCTGGTTTTTCACAGCCTTCATTCATTTCTGTGATGTTTACATTAATATTCTCTGGCAAACCTATCTCAAGTGGATGTCTGGAAAATTAAGATTGATAAAATATGTCTATATCTCTGAGATGAGGTATTATGATTAGTTGTATTATTTACATTATTCAGACTATCTATAGATTTTTGGTAAAGGGAGGGGAGAAAAATGGGTTTTGAAGAAAAGGAAGGGAGAAAAATGGGTTTTGAAGAAAAGGAAGGGAGAAAAATGGGTTTTGAAGAAAAGGAAGGGAGAAAAATGGGTTTTGAAGAAAAGGAAGGGAGAAAAATGGGTTTTCAAAAGAAAAGGAAGGGAGAAAATGGGTTTTGAAGAAAAGGAAGGGGAAAATGAGTTTTGGTACTCCTTTTCTAAAAATGGGTTTTTGGTAAAGGGAGGGGAAAATGGGTTTTTGGTAAAGGGAGGGGGGAAAATGGGTTTTAGTAAAGGGAGGAAAAATGGGTTTTGGTGAAAGGGGGGGAGGAAAATGGGTTTTGGTAAAGGGAGGGAGGAAAATGGGTTTTGGTAAATCCCTCATATAAAAAATGGGTTTTAAATTTCCGGGAAAATGGGGGGTAAAGGGAAAATGGGTTTTGGGAAAAGTGAGGGGGGGAAATGGGTTTGGTAAAGGGAGGGGGAAAAAATGGGTTTCAGAAAAGGAGGGAAAAAATGGGTTTTGGGAAAAGTGGGGGGGGGAAAAGTGGGGGGAATGGGTTTTGGGGAAAAGTGAAAAAAAAAATGGGTTTTTGGGAAAAGTTTGAGAAAAAAAAAAATGGGTTTATTAAAAAAAGTAAAGGGGAAAAATGGGTTTTTTAAAGGGGAGGAGGAAAATGGGGTTTGGGAAAATTGGGGGTGGGGAAAAATGGGTTCTGGAAAAAAGCAGGGGGATAGGTTTTGGAAAAGGTAGGAGGAAATGGGTTGTGTGAGGGGAAAAATGGATTCTAGAAAATGGTTAGGGAAAATGTCTTCTGTAAAATATGGGCAGGAGGGAAAAATGAATTTTCAAAAGGAAAGAATAAAATGGTTTTTGAAGTAATATTTGAAAAATGAGTTTTCAAAATAAGAGTGGGGAAATGTGTTTCAAAAAAGAAACATTTTTAAAAGTAATTTACATCATAAAATTGTAGCCAAATCATTTGAAAGTTGTTTATTTCAATTCAGTGAAAAAGAAAAAAAGCTCCTATTACTGAACATACAAAGAAGAATCAATTCACATTTGCAGAATAGCAGAGGTTTTTGATTCTAGTTTTCTTTGTAAAAACCAAAATTGCATAAAATGATCATTAATTTGAAAAGTAGTTTTTTCATATTTTCTTGACAAAAATTTCAACAATTAATGTTTTAATTTTTTTTTATTTCTTTTTATCGCAACTTTATGAAAACAGAAAAATAATGAAATATTATTCGCAAAATTAATAATCAACAATGCTTCATCTAAGATATTTTAAGATTATTCCATCTAATACAACTTGTGAAATTTATTATTTTCTATGACTTTGAAAAAAACCGAAATACTTTAAAAAAATTACATATAGTATAATCATTAGTGAAATAGCTATAATTTCGATTTAAGGGGGAAGTGTCTAAAGAATTTTATTATCTCCCCTTAATTATTCAACTCTAGATTCGTTACAGTTTCTTGGAGAGAGTAGCATGATGAACAGTTTGAACAAGGCTAGTATGTTGAAACCCTCGGTCACGATGACTTGTTACTTCCTGCTAGCACAACCATTGACAACTTCTAAATAGTTCACTCACTATCCAGTTTCACTCACAAGGTGTGGGTCAATTGCTTGTATTGTTTTCAGACAGTGACCAGCAGTAATGCATGCTGGAATTGCCTTTCTAGGACATCAAGAAGTCAACTCCCTGAAAAATTGACCATAATCTAATTCAAACCTGGGTCACATGGTTGGAAAGCAAATGTTTTAACAAGTTGACCATGTACCTATATATATATATATATATATATATTTTTTTAAAAAAAAATTATAACATATGTTATAAAATCACTACAAAAATAGCCATTTTGTTTCAACACACTTTGTGTCTTATCAAGTCATGATGTTGAAAATAAAATTTTAATTTCAACATCATCACTTGATAAGACACAGAGTGTGTTGAAAAAAAATGGCTATTTTTGTAGTGATTTTATAACATACTTATGTTATAATTTTTTTTTTATAAAAAGTAATTAAATCTGCTCTACTTTGTATTGAGCACTCTTTTAAGAATAGTAATTGTTGGTTATTGGAATTCATTCCGTATATACCAATTATATACTTGGAGATTATATATATATATATATATATATATATATATATATATATATATATATATATATATATACACACATTGTGGTTAAAAAAAATAAGAATTTAATAATGTCATTTTTTGACCTTAAAAATACGTCAAAAACAACATTATTACGTCATTATTTTTCCTTCAATCAACCTTATATATATATTACACGACAAAATCAAAAATTACCTAGTCTATGGGGGGGTATAGATCTATTTCAACCAATGAGAAGTACATTAGTCTTATTCAATCCCGGTATATAGACTGTGTTAGAAATTTAACTTTGATGGCTGAAAAATTGCTACAGAATTTATCCACTTCGATGTTTCAGTCAGACGAAATGCCCGAGATGTTGGTCAGATGATGGTGGAAGGTATTAGTCTTAAAGGAAAGAGGTTTTATAAAATTAAACCCAGATATTAACCTTATGACATTAAATTGGGGTTATATGAAGAATGAGGTGTTAAGTTGAAACTAAAAGAGGACTGAAAAGGGAGTTTTATATATAAAAAAATAAAAAATAAAAAAAGATTTTAATTATATAACAAATTATATTTAAAAATGAGATATATTAAAAAGATTAAATAAATCATATTTAGATAATTTATATTAAATTTAAGTAAGAATATAATTAAATAATTTTATATTAAAGAATAAAAAATTTTAAGATAAAATAAATTATCGATTTTTAACTTTAAAGATAAGTTAAATCAAGTTATATTAAAAAAACAAACCATACCAAATTATATTGTTAAAAATTTTCAAAAAATACATAGATAAAGAGGTGTAAGTGATAAAAGAATATATATATATATATATATATATATTTCTTCTGTGCCTTTAAAACTCAGTAAATTTAAAAAATAAGTTACTCCAACATTCAGTTGAGGATGAAATGGAACTAATGTTTTTAATTTAATTACAAAATTAAATTTGTTTATTTTTTATCTTCCATTTTGAAACATGGTTACTATTGTGTAAAAAAAAAAAACATTTTTAAATCAGTTAATTTATATATATATATATATATATATATATATATATATATATATAAACATGCAATCAATTTACAAATACATGAATTATTCACACAAAAACTAATGTAAAAGGTTAATGATTTAAATGGCGAGACATCCATCATCGCAAACAATTCAAATAATATACAAAAACCTCCGAATCCGTTATGAATGAAAAATGATCCTTGTTTATATAAATTTCTGCTATATTAGTTCTTATTTTTACTACAAGCTTTCGTCTGTTCCTACAGACATCTTCAGGTATAGAATAGATGTTGTTCTTGTTTTTTCTCTTATATAAATTTATATTTATATAAACAAGGATCATTTCATTCATAACGGGATAATGGAGGTTTTGTATATTATTTGAATTGTTTAGTGATGATGGATGTCTCGCCATTTAAATCATTAACCTTTTGCATTAGTTTTTGTGTGAATAATTATGTATATATATATATATATATATATATATATATATATATATATATATATATATTCATCAATATTTTTTTTTTTTCTTACCATTAATACAACACTGAGTTTCATGCACAATGCGATGATGATATGTCAGGGTAAATCCTGATTTATATTTCCATTTTTTTTCTATTTGCTACCTTTTTCCAAAATTAATAAACTTTTCCAGACTTGTGTTTATTTATGTACAACTATTTCATAATTTGTCTTGCTTTCTGTTTTTGTTTACCTAATATATACAGTGCTGTTCGATAAAAGTGACACATCTTATCCTTTGAATTTAGGTCAACTTTTGTTTCATCGGAGAAGAGAACATTCTTCCAGTCTTCTACGGTGAAATTTTTGTAATAGTGTGCCCATTCAAGTCTCTTGGCTTTGTTGGCTTTGCTTATTAGCAGCTTAAACCTTTGTGTTCAAGATTTGCAGCCATGTTCTAACAAGATTTGTAACCTTGTTCTGACAGACTGTTGAAGAGGCAAGACTAACAACTTGCTCTTTCTTAGACTGGCTGCAATTTCTTGGCTAGTTATAGTCCTATTCTTCACAACTTCTCTCTTGATTCCCCTGCCAGTTCTATCATCAATCTTTTTCTTTTGTCTCCTTGTTTCCTTCCTTGGAGCAGGAGTGGCATCATTATGTGCCCTAAGCACTCGAAAGACAGTTGATTGCGAGGTTATAGCAATTTCTGCAATTTCTCTCGTAGACTTGCCTGCTTTTGAGAGGGCAATAATAGATGCTTTAAGTGGTTCTGATGCGTGTTTTTACCCTTTCATTTGGTTAGTGACTTGAGTGGCTATTTCAAGCTGTTTTTATACTGTATGAGGCTTTCTGGAATATTCTGGAATACTCTAGATTTAATTTAAGCTGTTCTAGAATTCTCTAGAATATTGTTCTGAGTGTATTGTAAAATAGTTTTCAATATTTTGTCAAAAGCTCTTTAAATTTACCAGTTTAATCATTAGAATGCGATATCCGAGTCACTTTTTTTGCACAGTTTTTTCCTGAATCTCATTTATATCCAAATTTATAATTATCAATAGAATACCTTAGGGTGAATAAACTTTTTATTCTTAGGTGGTCAGGAAGAGGTCTTTATGTTAGTAAGATTAAAAATTATTTTAACCCCAAAAACAATAGACAAAAAATATTTTTAGCAAAAAAAAAAATCAGGTGGGTCACTTTTATCGAACAGCACTGTATATTTAAAAATAAGGTTAATTTTTTGGGGGGTGGGGATTCTAAAACACATAATGTATTATATATTATAAACATTAAAAATTATTATTAAAAAATTAAAAAATAAAAAAAGTCATAAAGAAAAAAAAAAGAAAAAAGTAAAAATTTTAAAGAAAAATAAAGGTAAAAATTCAAAGAAAATTTTTTTTTAAAAATAGGAAAATTAGAAATTAAAAATACAATGGTGTAAAAATTGATCCTAATCGGTTCATTTTTCATTTGTATTTGTACTTATGAGCATTGCCTGCCACAATTGCTCCTGAACAACTTTAAAGTAAACATCGAGGGTGATTAACAAACTGAATTGTTTACATGAATTTTTTTTTTTTTTTTGTTACTTTATACCAGGTTCACCTCATAGTATCAACATAAACTTTAGTTCTGTTTATGTTTCCATTGATATTTTAGTATCACCAGTATTTGTTTCTCAGCAAAGGTACATTTGACAAAAGGTCAATTTAATGTGATCTCTACACATATTTATTGATTGATTCATTTTTTAAAAAATTAGTCCTACATTGGTTCATTTTTAAGCCAGGGTTTTTCAAATTTCAAATATTTATGATTCAAAGCTTGAAGTAAAGTTTCTTGTACAACACAAATGTCAAATTTATAATATATGATACATTGTTCATCACGCTAATTCTTAATGTTTATAATCTATGTACATTACATATGTTCTAAAGGTTGTCGTAGCCAGGTGGTTGATAGTGGAGAAAAAACTCCCACTGTCTATGAAATACTTCTGTGGTATGTGTCTCAAATAGCCTATGACAACTAAGTCCAGCTCCAAGCCAGAAAATGGATGAAGATGAACAACTGGTGCTTCATAACCAACAGCTTCTGGTAGATGGAGCTCAACAGCCCAGGAAGGCAGTCCTATCTAGGAGAAGGAAAACCCTGATTTTAAATCTCCTCTGCCTTCCGTATTTGTCTATATTTCTGAGATGAGGTATTATGTACACTATTTACATTATTCGGACTATTGTCCTCATCTTTGTCGCCATATTTATTACAATGTTTCGGCCGTTGTATGCTCCGGCCTTCTTCAGGTGGCTGGAATGTTGAACTGAACCCTCAAGGACACATGGCAGAGTGGATAAAGGCGTTGATTAGATCCAGTGACAGGACCCAAAGAGTGTGAGTTCAATACCCGGTTAAGGCAGTGGAGAACTTGGAGAGGAGACTTAACAGGAGATAACTGATAACTGACATCCATTAAAACATGGCATGTAGAACTAGAACAATCTACCCCAAAAGCGAAATAAAGGGTTCAGTTCGACATTCCAACCACCTGAAGAAGGCCGGAGCGTACAACGGCCGAAACGTTGTAATACATATGGCAACAAAGATGAGGACAATACTCCTCTGCCTTGTGATCATATCCAAACAACAGAAAAAGCTATGGAAGTAAATCCAGAAAGAAAACCTGGAGTGGAGCCCCCAAAGGCAGTTGGCTGTCAGCACTGACAACTTTCTGGCAACTCTTGCAGCCAAGCCGTCTCCAAATTTAATGCCCTGTATTCCTTTGGATCTTGTCAGTATGGTTGAGAGGGAGAACCATGTAAACTGGGCAGCACACAGTCTCTATACACCATTGCCCAGGCCTACACCCTGGAGTGGGTCACACCAGTCTCACTAGCAAAGGACTGAATTTTGACCAAACAGAGTGCAACCATTATCTTGCAAGATAAACAGAGACCTACGGTTGCTGTAAGTTTACAAAATAAATCTTCAACAAGACTAATATTTAAGTGAACAGAGAAACGTCCCCACCCTGTATTCTTATTACCCACATATGTCTAATATGTAGATATTCTATATATTAAGAAGAAATGAAATCAATGACAGGTTATAAATTTTGGCATCTTGTGATCCTGAGCCCAGAGCTTTAACTACTGAGGCATATATGATCTCAAATTAATTTTTTTTTTTTACCTTTCTTGGATAGAATTCACAGCATCAAGTGCCAAGGTCCTGGTATATTGAGGGGTCTTGGCTCCGTGCCATATGAACACCTTCCCAGTTTGTACATTAAGCAAAATGAATGATGATCGACTGCGAAGACTAGATATTTGGGCTTGGATTTCAATAAGGCACATTTCGTTTCTTTTCTCATGTCTGATGCTGTAGAACCTCCAAAGTCCTTGCGTGTTGGTTTCTTCTTCCTCACGTTTTCCAATGTGTACAACCATTTGGCCTTGGAAGAGATTCATAAAACAAGGCGGTTCTTTGCCTTGAAGTACGCGAACCTTGAAAAAAAGTAAAAATTAAAAGTGGGGAAAAATTATTAGCAATTTGTAGAAGTTATTCAAAAAGTAGAAATTTAAAAATAAATTTCAGGAAGTAGAAATTAAAATAAAAATTCAAAAAGATAAAAACAAAAAAATTCAAAGAGTAAAAATTTTAAAAAATTCAAAAAGAAAAAATTTTTTAAAAATTAAAAAGGTAAAAGAAAAAAAATTCATGAAGAGAAAATTAAAAATTTTAAAGACAAAAATAAAGTAAAAACACAAAGAAAAAGTTTTTAAAAAATTCAAAAAGTAAAAATTTTAATTTCTATTTTTTGAATTTAAAACGAAAAATTTTTTTTACAATGGTGTAAAAATTGGTTCTACATCGGTTCATTTTAAAGCCAGGGTTTTTCAAATTCCCAATATTTATGACTCAAAGCTTGAAGTAAAGTTTCTTGTGCAACGTAAATGTCAAATCTATAAGAACAATATAAAGATTGATTGATTCATTCATTTTTTACAGCTTATCAACCCTTTGCAAGTTATTTAAACTCAGAAAATATTTTTAGATTCTAATTTTTTTTTTTTCATAGAATAATATTTTAGTGATACAAGTCTTACTAATTAACCCATAGCTGGAGAAGAATAGGTGGATTCATGCCTAATAAGAAATTGATAAATTATGTGGATATAATCTGAGGGATCAATTCTATATTACAATCAATATATAAACGGATCCCTCACTTTGTGGCCACTGTACATTTATATTCCAGACAATGTAAATAAATATAAAAGACATGCCTGTGCAGCTCATCAGTATTTCATTGACTGACTGATTAGTTTTCTATGGTTTATCAACCCTTTGCAGGTTATTTAAAGCCAGAAAATATTTTTAGATTGTAGGATTTTTTTTCTCTTTTATATAATAATAGTTTAGTGATACAACTGGAAGGAGAATAGGGGGGGATTCATACCTTATGTAATATAAATGATATTGCGGCATAAATGAATATAACAAAACAAATCAGAATTGGAACTTGGCTCTCTGATTAGTAATTCTGAGCCATTATCCATTATACCATCCGCACATCCAAGCTTACTGTATCTGCTATTCCCAAGTCCACAACTCATCTAGATACTGACCAGGCTTGACATTGCTTAACTTCATTGATCATACAGAAACTGGTGTTTCAACGCAATGTCATTTTATTTCATGTAATTCCCAGAACAAGTACAGATTACAATACACATAAAATTCATCAGGAGATTTGCAAAAAAAAATGAAGTTTAATACCAAAGTCTATACATTTCGAGGCAACTCTTGTACAGTGTTTATTTCAAATCTTTTTGCAGGCATACTAAAAATAAAAAAAAAAAAAAAAAAAAAAAAAAAAAAAAGCCTGAAACCTTCTATCTAAATAAATAAATGGTAAATTCTGTCTGTCCATCCATGCATCTGAAACCCCTTTAACTTGGGACACACTTACTTTATGCAGATATATTATACCCTTTTGGAATCAGTATGATCTTGGGATTGAAAATCTGCCCTTCATCTCGTGCTTGGACATCCAGCATTGGGATTTGTGTCCAGACAAGGAGGGAACAATCAAAAATTCAAATTTTGAAATAACAAAAAAAAACAAATTAATGATTTTAAAAGTTTTTAATTTATACTGACTTTAAAATAACACAAAATCTTTATGAATTTAAAATTTTTTGTTTTAAATTTAATTTAAAATATTTCTGAAACTTTGTGAATTGAGGAAATCAATTTTATTTCTTCAAAATGCCAAGGAATCAAGTGAGAGGTTTCATGATGTGAGGTTTTGAAGTTCTGCAGAGTTTGTGATTTGAAAAATTTTCAGCCTGAATTGGAATTTTGGCCCAAATCAGACTTCTAGCCTGAATCAGAGTGAAAGTGAGGTTTTGAAGTTCCATGGAGTAAATTGAGGTATTCAGAGTTATTTCTTCAAAGTTATCATTGCTGTTTTCTAAGCTGGACCAGAGGTCCCTTTAGTTTTGGGCTGGAGGCTGAATTATACCCTCCGCAGGAGATAGCTTTAAATCTACAGTGTGTGGCTTTTAAGCTAGTTTAGAATATTTGAAAAATTATGAAATCACAGGAGAAAAACTTATTTATCATTATGCGACAATTATGTCAAAGCTCTGGTGTCATAAAACGTAAGGAAAGAAAATAAAATCTGGTATCCCATTGTTAAGCTACCTACCACTTAACATGTTCACTTAAATACTTTGAATGTTTCCTCAACTGAATTTCATAGATTCGAAAAAATAAGTTAATGTCTTTTAACCTACCATATCTGAAAAGTTAATATTACGTTTCAAAGAATATATGAAGTAGATCATTTTATATTCCACTTGTCAAGGTTATAGTTATTTACTAAGAACATTTTAGTTGTGGCACAAGGCCAAGATTGAGGAGAACCCAGTTAGGATCAAACTCACTACTCAGTCATAAGTGATCTAGTGAGACAATCTTACTAACCATTACACTATGTCTAAGTGCCCAACTTGTCAAGGTTATAGGTAAAAAGGTTATAAAAGGTCAAGATCATATGTTAAAAAAGTTATAAAAAGGTCAAGGTTAAAGCTTTTTAAAAATCATTGCTGCTTTAAGGTATTTTTAGGGTCCTGTGGATTAATCAATTTGGTTTTGGTGCTAAAAACCAAGCCTTCCTGGATGTCAAACAATTTGTATCTACCAACCTGGGGACCTCGTTCTTCATCCAATTCCACTGTCATCAATGCAGATGCCCCTTTTTCTGTGATGGTTGATGTCTTGCCTTGCCAGAAAAAGTAAGCACATCTTTCTCGACCTACAGTAGGTCGTCTCACACCAGGTTTAGCTCCTGTGATTAAAAAAAAAAAAAAAAAAAAAAAAAAAATAGGAAACATTTTTGAAAATTGGAGTAAGCAGAGCCTACAAGAAAACATGTCAGCTACCTTAACACAAAAATAAAAATGATGACCCACCGTAGTGAATAAACAGTTGACATTTGGAGAGAGAAAAGCCTACAATCATTATGACGTAAATCTTAGTTAATTACCTATTACTTATGTCAGGTTATGAAAGGTTACTTTTTCCATGTGTTTTTTTTTTCTTTTCAAGTTAGGACAAGTACCATAAAATTAGGGAAAATGACTTAAATATAATTAACCTTTCCACTGCGGCTGACAACTTTATTGAAATTGCCTAAAGTTTTGCATATCAGATGACAGTAAAATAATTGCATTATTTTACTTTTGAAGTCACTCTGAACCAACAATGGTCCCTATTCTCAATTACAGATGTATTATTGTGAAATATACATCAGGAATATTTAAATTATTTACATGCAAAATATTGTTGTCATCTTTGTTACTGTTATCACAAAATTTTGGCTGTTGCACCCTCCAGCTCTCAGAAGGGAGAAACAGGTAAAAGGTGATAATAAGAACAACAAAGATAGGGACAATAGTCCTCATCCCAGAATTTCAGACAGAAATACAACAGGATGTTTGTTTATTTATTTTTGTTATTACTTTCAGCTACCTTTTGTTTACCTTTAACAGAAATAATAAGATGTAATAGAGAGGTGTTTACACCTAACAATAATAACAGATGTAACAGAGAGGTGTTTATGCCTAACAGTAGTAATAGATGTAATAGAGAGGTGTTTATGCCTAACAGTAGTAATAGATGTAATAGAGATGTAAGTAGTATAGATGTAATTTACGTTTTTAACAGTAGTAATAGATGTAAGAGAGAGATGTAACATCTAGACAGTAGGCGTTTAAATAGTAATAGATGTAATAGAAAGGTGTTTTTAACAGTAGTAGTAATAATAGATGTAACAGTAGTAGTAGATGTAATAGAGAGGCGTTTCTGCCTAACAGTAGTAATAGATGTAATAGAGAGGTGTTTATGCCTAACAGTAGTAGTAGATGTAATAGAGAGGTGCGTTTATAGCCTAGAGACGTTTCTGTAAGTAGTAGTAGATGTAATAGAGAGGCGTTTCTGCCTAACAGTAGTAGTAGATGTAATAGAGAGGCGTTTCTGCCTAACAGTAGTAGTAGATGTAATAGAGTAATGTAGATGTAATAGTAAATGTAATAGAGGCGTTTCTGCCTAACAGTAGTATGTAATATGTTTATGCCTAACAGTAGTAGTAGATGTAATAGAGAGGTGTTTCTGCCTAACAGTAGTAATAGATGTAATAGAGAGGCGTTTCTGCCTAACAGTAGTAGTAGTAATAGATGTAATAGATGTAATAGAGGTGTTTATGCCTAACAGTAGTAGTAGATGTAATAGAGAGGCGTTTCTGCCTAACAGTAGTAATAGATGTAATAGAGAGGCGTTTCTGCCTAACAGTAGTAATAGATGTAATAGAGAGGCGTTTCTGCCTAACAGTAGTAGTAGATGTAATAGAGAGGCGTTTCTGCCTAACAGTAGTAGTAGATGTAATAGAGAGGCGTTTCTGCCTAACAGTAGTAATAGATGTAATAGAGGGGGTTTGCCTAACAGTAGTAATAGATGTAATAGAGAGTAGTTTATGTAAGTATAATAGATGTAATAATTTAATGAGATGTGCAAAAAAGTTTTCCCAAATTCTAATCAAATGACTAAACATCAGAATCTTTAAAAAATTCTTCTTGGCTGGGTCAAGGACTTTTCAGTCTGATCCTTTTATAAGTTGTCCATATTTCTTCAATGAAACATTATTGTCATTATAAAGCAATCAATAGGCAATAAATACCATATTTTAGATTCAGAAATAAAGATATTAAGAATCTCCTTGTTTCTTTTCATGACTATTATATTGTTCCATTTTTTTTAATACCAATTCATGTAGGTGATTAGACACTTTGTTTAGACATTCAGTTGATGTGACAGTGCAGGGTTATGTCAGTTCATGCCTTTCCCATTTATGTACAGGAATGGCTTCAGTTAGAATTCAGACAAAGTTTTTGAAGTTTGCAAACATACAATGATGGCCTTCAATTTTCACCGACGTTGCAATGTGTTTCACTTCCCATCTGCATCAGTGTGAACTAAAAAAAAAACCTCAAACAAGGGAATTTTCTTTCCCCTTTTTAATACTTGGTTTATTGAAAAGGGGATGTGTGTTTTCAAGCCTGGTGCTCTTTATTCATGTTTGCAGCTCTTCAGCTGCCACTTGGGATATCTTCATTGCTACTTCTGTCTTCCCTAATGGCAAACTAAGGGATTAGATCTTCCATTTCGTTAGCAAAAACTCTTGATTGTCCATCTTCCAATTTCTGACTCAACATGTCAACAGACAGCACCTGAATCATCCCAATGACTCTTGTTAATATCTAAATCATAAAAGATGGTTTGTCACTTGCCAGTGGACAGCTTCTTACTAAAAAATGCAAGAATTTAGCCTGACTTGCCTGGAATTGCTTATCTTCCGGCTTAGTGCCACTTGATCATGAAAATTTTCATTTATTTATTTAGTTCGTTTTCATTTTCTCTACTTGTGAACTGTGGGTGGATGCTTTAAACATCTTACATCTTGATTTTATTGTTGGTTGCCATAAATCCAAGTCCAGATAAAATCATTTACAGTCTACTTGACGATGTGGGTGTCATAGCCAGTTGAGTGAGGTCCCATTGTATCATAACCCTCCTTCATAATTATTTTGAGATTTATTATGCCTATAACAGATAAATCAAAATCTGAAACCAAATGATCATTATATAGCAATTGAAGTGCAATAAAATACTTTCATATAAAATAACCGAAAAAAACAATTACCTGTAGCAACAATTCTGTATTCCCAACGGACAACATAAGTATCCCCTTCATGAAACTGGCCATTACTTAGAGGGTCAAGTTTGTAATGGTCAAACTCTAAAATATGCCACACAGTCACAGCAAGTGTGTGAATTTCGAATTCCTGGATGAAGCCACCCATGTCTTCACTCCTGAAAACAAAAAGGCATTTTAAGTTTTAAACTGAAAATAGATCATTTCCAAGGAAATTTTAAATGAATGGAAAATAATTTAATAAGTTTTAATTTAATTTATAATTTACAAGTATTATATATATATATATATATATAAATATAAAAGTGAACATAGAAACAGTCTGTTTCATGCTAGATGCAATTGTCAGGCCACGAGTGGTGTTATTTTTCTCGGCTATTTATATATATATATATATATACGGGTCAGTAACCACTAAGTGTTGACTTCTATGTTCACTTTTATATTTACACACACTATCTCTGATATTGAGCAGTTTATCCCATAAATATATCACATCTTAAGACTATATTTCTTTATATATATATATATATATATATGGTATGTAAAAATTTAATTGATAAAGCTGACCTTTAGACAAAGAAAATGTTTATGACATGCACATAACAGATCTTTAATAAGATGCACTTAGTCTGGCACAAGGTCACTATAAAGAGCACCTAGTTATCAAAGTCACCAAAAAAATCTTGTAAGTTTAGTTCATTATCTATTTCCATATTTGTAGATGCCCTATATATATATATATGTGTGTGTGTGTGTGTGTGTGTGTATATATATATATACACACACACAAACACACACACATACAAACACAGGTAAAAATAAGTAGGTAAATAATCTAAGTAAATCCTAATAATATAAAATATTAAAACTGATCCACAAAGAGAGCTCAGTGTATTTACTATAAAAGAGTATATATATATATATATATATCTATATATATATATATATATATTGATAATATTAGTGGTCAAAAATATATATATATATATTTATATATATATATATATATATATAAAATTCCAAGAGGATAGAATCCAGGTAAAGCTCAATGTCTAGGACAAAGCAAATATATAATATAAAAGGCTCAAACACTAATATTCCATGGTTATAATTTATTACATTGGAATTATAATCACGATCCAATTCATCAGACCTACGATGAATTGGATTGTGATTCCAATGTAATAAATTATAACCATGGAATATTAGTCTTTGAGCCTTTTATATTATATATATATATATATATATATATATATATATATATATAGCTTCACTGAACTTGGCACAATGTGACAAATGGGATCACCCAGTGCAGATAAAATTCACTATACATATATTTCTTTTTTTAACTTCACTGTGCCTGGTACAAGGTGACAATTGAGAACACCCAGTAGGGATGAAACTCATTGGAAAAGGCTTGTGAGTTTTCAGCGTAAACAGAGGAGTATTTTGTGCTGGAAGAAATTCAATTTCTTTTAAATTCAGAAAAAAAAAATGTAAAGGGAAAAACCCCAAAACAGTTTATTTTTACCAATATGTCCCTCGACCAACTTGGCTTCCATCTAAGGTCAATAAAAGAGCTTCAGGCTGCTCTTTCTCTATTAACTTCTGAGCATCATAAGGAATTAAGTCTCCATTCTCAGTCTGAAATTTAAGAAGTAGATATTTTATGAATACTTCAAATATACTATAAAGCAAATAGTAAATTATACTATAAATTGGTCTACTTCAATCTTGACATGCGTAAAAACTCAAACGTTTTTGGTTGGCATAATTTGATTTATTTGTTTATGCGTGGGGTAATTTGAGAAGCTTCAGAAAACTGGATATCAGAAAAGAAAAACTAGGGAATAATTTTATATGGAAGACAGTTTTAGACATTTTGCTATTTTGATATTAAAAACTTGGGAGTTTTTTTTTTTTTTTAATTGACTGGAAAAGCAGAAATTAATGAAATTCAATGCAAATTCATCTTTTAGTTGATGTAACATGAATAAATTTTTTCAAGTTTTTTTTTGAGTTAAAAAGAAAAAGAGACAATGAAAAAAAGAAAAGAAAGGAAAAAAATTGAAAGAAAAAAGAAAGGAAAAAAATTGAAAGAAAAAAGAAAGGAAAAAAATTGAAAGAAAAAAGAAAGGAAAAAATTGAAAGAAAAAAGAAAGGAAAAAATTGAAAGAAAAAAAAAAAAAATTGAAAAAAAAAATTGAAAGAAAAAAAAAAAAAAAGAAAAAGAAAAAAAATTTGAAAGGAAAAGAAAGGAAAAATTTGAAAGAAAAAAAAGGAAAAAAATTGAAAGAAAAAAGAAAGGAAAAAATTGAAAGAAAAAAGAAAGGAAAAAAATTGAAAGAAAAAAGAAAGGAAAAAATTGAAAGAAAAAAGAAAGGAAAAAAATTGAAAGAAAAAAGAAAGAAAAAAATTGAAAGAAAAAAGAAAGGAAAAAATTGAAAGAAAAAAAATTGAAAAAGAAAAGAAAAAAAATTGAAAAAAAAAGAAAGGAAAAAATTGAAAAAAAAAGAAAGGAAAAATTGAAAAAAAAAAAAGGAAAAATTGAAAGAAAAAAAAAAGGAAAAGGAAAAAAAAGGAAAGGAAAAAATGAAAGAAAAAGGAAAGGAAAAAATGAAAGAAAAAGGAAAGGAAAAAATGAAAGAAAAAGGAAAAAAGAAGAGAAAAAATAAAAGAAAAAAGAAGGAAAAAAGAAAAAGTGAAAGAAAAAAAGGGAAGGAAATTGAAGAGTGGAAGAAAATTTAATATACTTACTTTGTTTGAGTTGGAGTCAACAGTCTTGACTTTGATTAACCGAGCAGAATCAGGCCAATCAGCAAATTTCTCTCGGAATAGGACAGTCTCCATATTCTCATTGACTTTTGCAATTAGAGTCCAGGGAGGGCGCTGGCCAGAGGAACACTTCAGGCTATCTTCAATACCACCTACAAGGCAAAAAAAACATTCATTACTGTGGATGAAGATTATGCTCGTTTTTCAAAGATCAGTGTGTAGTATCTATCTGATCCCCTGGCCCTTCTGAGTTGGAATCAAATATGCTTTCTGACCAAGAATCTATACTATTATTCTGCTTGTTTCTATCTATGACCATTAGGCTTTTCTACCAAAGATCAGAGTGTAGTATCTATCTGATCCCCTGGCCCTTCTTAGTTGGAATCTGTTATGATTTCTAACCAAGAATCTATACTATTATTCTGCTTGTTTCTATCTATGACCATTAGGCTTTTCTACCAAAGATCAGAGTGTAGTACCTATCTGATCCCCTGGCCCTTCTTAGTTGGAATCTGTTATGATTTCTAACCAAGAATCTATCCATCTGAATGCATTCTGATTTGTCAAGGTGCACATATATGACTATCTCAATTTGGGAAATATTTGCAATATCCTTCACTCCTTTCAGCTGCCCTTGTGTCAGACTTAACAAAGCAATCTCTCCATAAACACAAAGCATATAAGTGCAATGTAGTCTTGTTTTTCCATAAGCAAGAAACCCAGATTTAAAACTGACACTGCTGATATGTTCTCTTTTCAGAATCAGAAAAATCACTTCTCTCCACAACATCCAGTATTAGGTAAAGAAATTTGTTAAACAAAATTTGACACCGTCTTGCTAAGATAATTTTTGATGTTGCATTACTTAGCAGGACAATAAACTCATCGCAAATGTTTTTATAAATTTAACACTTTGTTTCTGATATAAAATTCTCTTTAATGTTTTATGATTAATTCTCTATGAAAGACAAGATATCTTGTCATTCACACTGCTTAACATGGAAATAATGCCAAAGTTATTTTATCTTAAAACCCCTTTTATAAACAAAAATCAGTTCAGTAGAAATGAGGACATTTTAACTTGACCTCAAGCCACTGTCATTGCAGAATCCATCTTGTACATTTAGAAATCTACCCTTTATCATTGCATTGAAAACTGCTACCCTATCTGATCTGGTTCTCCTAGCATGTATCTAGAGATTCTTGACAAAATTCAAAGAATGGTCTGTAATATAACTGATCCTGACCTGGAATCTCGACTTCAGTCACTTTCTCACCATGATGATGTGGCTTCCCTGTGATTTCTACAAATATTTTCATAATAAAAAAAAAGAGAGAATAAGATTAAATATCCCAAGACATAGTGGAATAAGAACAATCTACTCTCAGATTAAATAAAGGGTTCAGTTCAAAATTCGCTGAAGGCTACTTTGATTAAAAGAAGATTGAAGAATGCTGGAGAGAACAATGGCTGAAACATTGTGATAATATGATATGTTCCAACAATTCTCGTCGGAACTTATTTTCCATGTTAAGGGAATAAATAAGTAACACCAGGTGGATAATAGAAGAAAGGTTTATTGTACACAACCAGTACAATATGAAATACGGTACAGTTATACACACAAGTCAATCTAGTAGTGAGTGCCACTAGTTGGAAGGTCGGACGTGCTTGCGTCGTCTCTCTCTTGCTCTTCCCACGTCTACCCTGTCTCTCGTAGACTGTCAAATCTTTCTCCTAAAGCAGGTGAATAGGCTTCTCATGTCTATGTGCTGTTATCACTCTTTCTAGCATTGATGGAAGTTTCCTTCCTAACTATTTGTTTAAAGTAGTGTGGAACGTCAACATCATGATTATATCATTATTTTCTCTTCTTGTCACATGATCTATCCATTTTAATTGTTGCTGCTTTTGGAAGTCTTTGAGTGTGGTCTTTTTTTATATTCCGTGCTAAGGGAATAAATAAGTAACACCAGGTGGATACTAGAAGAAAGGTTTATTGTACACAACCAGTACAGTTATACACACAAGTCAATCTAGTAGTGAGTGCCATTAATTGGAAAGTTGGACGTGCTTGCGTCTTCACTCTCACGTCTTCCCAGTCTCTTGTAGACAGTTGACTTTATAGGTACTTACTACCTATAGTGTAATCATTCATGGGGGTGCCAGGTTATTCCATTACATCATAACAAGAAAGATGAGGATATTAGAATGTAAATAATGATAACGCAGAAATTCAGACATAATTATCTTATCAGCCTAGGTAAAAAAAGAAAAAAAAAAAGAAAAAAAAAAAAGAAAAAAAAGTGTTTCGGGCCAATCAAGAGATGCAGTTGGTCAAACCACTCTCCCATATCTACCTTTCTGCCCAGGTAATATCAGCAAAAAGATTCTAACCATCACCAATTAACAAATAAGAAAATAAGAACATAATTTTCTACCTACAGGTTCTGGTGAATTGACTTATTTTAAGAAACCTTGACCCCTCTGTTACAATGAGTTAAAGACTTTTTTTTAATGATACTCACCTTGGAGTGGGGACAAAGGATTGATAGTGGAGACTTCATAATTGTAACCTTTATCCCATAGCTGTTGTGCCAATTCCAAGCCTAATTTCCTCTTTTGGGGCAAAGCCTTTTTACCTTGCCACACATAGACCTCAGCACCAAAATCAAAGACAAATACCTGAAATATTAAAAGTAAAAGTGACATTAATAAATAAACTTAATTAATTTTACTGGGTTTTATGAAGATATTGTGTTAGGGAAGCTCGTCAATCCTTGTTGCAGACATATGCTCAGGCACATTTGGGTTTGCTCAATGCCAACAGAGCCAACCAGTGAATTATACTGCAACTTTGCTGAGTGAATGTTAGTTTCTGGAAGAGAACACATATAATCAGGAATGAGCAACAGTTTGGACAATGCCAGCATGCTCACACCCTCAGTCACAATGACTTGTGACTTTGTGCTAGCATGACCCTTGATGCCCTCCAAAAAGTTCCTTCTATCCAATTTCAATCCAAAGATGTGGGTTGACCTGTGGCATGGGTTTCAGGCACTTTCAAAAGGACCATCTCCCCAGACCAATGACATCAAGAAATAACCTACCTGACAAATCGACCATGGGGAAATTTGTTTACATTGATGGAATTATATATGTGTAAGAAGGGGAGGGGGAATACAAAAATGCAAGTATTTGTTACAATTATGAGAACGGAAATAGTGAAAATACTGGTATTCGGAAATTTTAAACTTTTAAATCTAAAATGTGTCTGGGTATGTAGTTGGGTCAATTTCATCCAGTTTCCTTATGTTTTTGTTTTTAATCAATTTTTTTTATTAAGTATCCCACATTGTGATGGTAGAAGATCTGCCAGGAATGGGGAAATATTCTAAGAAGCTGGACGCAAATTTACAGTGGAAAACTTTCTCCACTTTGTCATACTTCTTTCCCCTAAAATATATATTATAAATTAATTGATTTAAAATATGTTTTTTTTTCGCTACACAGTTCTAACCATGTTTCAAAAATGGAAGCTAAAAGCCACGAATTTAATTTTGCAATTAAATTAAAGACATTAGTTACATTTCATCCTCAAGCGAATTTTGGAGTAACTTTTAAAATTACTGGGTTTTAAAGACACAGCTAAAATCATGTTTCCATGGTTACAGATAAATCTACTTCAACTGGACAAGGGGTATCTGGGTTTTCCTTATGTCTGTATCACCAGATTATATATCTTACTGTTCTTTCTTTTTTTATTTATTTATATATATATATATATATATATATATATATATATATATATATATGTGTGTGTGTGTGTTTTTGTGCACACACATGATTGAATGTGCTGAAAAGTTCCCAGCCCAACTTGCTACTTCAAATCTGATCAAATTACCAGACATCAGATTTTGGAGTCCCTTCCCTTCCTTTTTCCATACTCTTTTGGATATATACAGAGTATATCAAAAATACTTTTACAAACCTTGGGAGTGATTTTCCCACACCAGAACAAGGAAAAAAGATCATGTCTGCAAATCTTTTGTTTTTGAGTTAAGTTTTAAGAAAGTTTACAGTAGACGGCACTGTTGCCATGTAGATTAGGTTACATGTGTACATTTGTGGCTAGTCTATCTTCAACTTTTAATGTGTGTAGTAGTGAGTTAACTGAAATGTGTTCTGTTTAACAATGGTAGGATATTCATATCATGAGTAGGTAGATATGATTTTTACATATGGCTGTGTGAATGGTGATGGACATGAGGCTGCACGGCTGTATCAGATTGTGTTTCCAGACCAAAGGCAGCTGAGTTATTCAACCTTGGATGCTGTTTATCATTGTGTTGCTGAGAAAAAATATGTGGCACCACAAATTACGGATTGCGGAAGACTGAGATCCACTCGTATACCTGACCACAAAGACTACATTCTACATGCTGTTAAAGATGATACAGGTATCAGAACATGTCAAGTTGCCCTAGCATGTCATACATCTCATAGTACCAGATGGAGGGTACTTGAAGACCAGCTCCTGTATCCGTATCATTTGCCATGTGTGCAAGGTATTTCACCCTCTGATCACTTACCACAGGAGAACGTTTGCTGATGGTTTATTGCAAAAACTGCTGATCTGTTGTTTGTCTCTTCAGTTTTGTTTATGGATGAGGCAAAATTTGGAAGATATGGAATAACAAATTTACACAACCAACATTTGCAGGCTGATCGGAATCCCCATGGTAAAATACAGGCTAGATATCAGCATCAGTTTACAATTAATGTGTGGGCTGGAATTGTAGTTGACTGTCTGGTAGGTCCATATGTACTCCCAACATGTCTTACAGGGACTTTATTTCAAACACACTTCCATACCTGCTAGAAGATGTACCCCTGCTAATACAAAGACACATGTAGTTTATGCATGATGGAGCTCCAGTACATTTTAGTTGAATTGTTTGCAATGCACTGGCTGACATCTACCATGAAAGATGGAGAGGTAGAGGAGGACCAGTTCCATGGCCTGCACATTCCCCCAACTTAAATCCTTTAGATTTTTATCTGTGGGGCCATCTAAAACAATTGGTTTATGCAACAGACAATAATAATGCACAGATGCTTAATCAATGTGTGATGGGGGCCTGTGAAATCATTCAACACTGTGGGGGAGTATTTGAAAGGGTCTACCAGTCAATGATCCAACAGGTGCCTGCATCTGTAGAAGCAAGATGAGAACATTTTGAACATTTCTTATGAACTGGTGCGTTGAGATACAATGATGGCCTTTTGGATATATGTTTATATTGCTGGAGACATGGAGTAATGGATAACGGCTTGAATTGAGGAATCAGAGAGCTGAGTTTGAATTTGTTGGATCCATTTCAGCTAATTGGAAAATATGAATTACATTCTCCCCTGATTTATTTATTAACACAAACAAAACAATTTATTATAATTTATAATAAAAAGGAGGCCATGGTAATGGAAAGTCGGATTGAGGAATCAGAGAGCCGAAGTTCAATTCTTTAATCATTACATTCAAAACTTACGTAAAAATACCTTTGGAAAAGTATGAATCTTCTTCTCCCCTGATTTATTTAAACACAAACAAAAAAATTTTTATTATAATTTATAATAAAAAGGAGGCAATGTGGAGTAATGGATGATCAATTTCGGATTGAGGAATCAGAGAGCCGAGTTGTTAAATTCCAGTCGAATCCATTACATTCACTTACATGCTAATACCCTTGGGAAAGTATGAATCCTCTTCTTCTTCTCCTGATTTATTTATTAACACAAACAAAACAATTTATTATAATTTATAATTTAAAAAGGAGGAGGTAATGGATTTTACTCAGATAAGGAATCTTTCTTTCGAATTTCAATTCAGTTTAATCTATTACATTTGAGGAATACCCTTGGGAAAAGTATGAATTTTTTTTTCTTCTCTCCTGATTTATTTATTAACACAAACAATCAATTTATTATAATTTACATTATTTCTTAAAGATTTTCTTTTTTTTGAGGAATGCTAATACCCTTTGGGAAAATCCATTATGAAAACGATTGAATAATACCTTTGGGAAAAGTATGAATTCTTCTCCTGATTTATTTATTTAAACACAAACAAAACAATTTATTATAATTTTAATAAAAAAGGAAAAAGTAATGGATAGCTGCTCGGATTGAGGAATCAGAGTGAGAATGGATATTAATCCATTACATTCACTTGCTCAGGAAAGGTATGAAGGAATCAAACAAACAAAACAATTTATTATAATTTATAATAAAAAATTCCATGAGGAGTAAATCCATTTGAGGAATTCTATAAATAATTTTCAATCCATAATACCCTTAGGAAAGGGAAAAGTATGAATCCTCTTCTTCTCTCCTGATTTATTTTACACAAACAAAACAATTTATTATAAAAACAATTTATTAGGCCATTGGATAATTTATAAAAAAAGGAGGCAATAATTCCATCTCAATCCATTAATTGGAATTTCTTTGGGAAAGATTGAGGATTTATTTATTAACACAAACAAAACAATTTATTAATTTTATAAAAAAAGGAGGCCATGAGGAGTAATGGATATAACAGATTGAGGAATCAGAGAGCCGAGTTTAATTACATTCATTACTTCACTTGTGCTAATACCTTTGGGAAAGGTATGAATCCTCTTCTTCTCTCCTGATTTATTTATTAACACAAACAAAACAATTTATTATAATTTATAGGAAAAAAGGAGGCATTTCGATTAATGGAAAGTAATGGATATTTAAGATAACACAAACGGATTGAGGAATCAGAGAGGCGTAATGGTTGAGGAATCAGAGAGCTGAAAAGCTTTCCAGTCGAATCCATTACATTCACTTACGTGCTAATACCTTTTGGGAAAGGTATGAATCCTCTTCTTCTCTCCTGATTTATTTATTAACACAAACAAAACAATTTATTATAATTTATAATAAAAAGGAGGCACTGTGGAGTAATGGATAGCCGCCGGGATTGAGGAATCACTTACGTCTAATACCCTTGGGAAAAGTAGAATTCAATTCTTTCTCTCAGATTTATTTATCCATTACAAAATTCAACTTATTGCTAATACCCATGGGAAAGGATTTCGGATTATGAATTTCCTTCTTCAATCATTTCTCCTGATTTATTTATTAACACAAACAAAAAAATTTATTATAATTTATAATAGGAATCAGAAAAGGAGGCCATGAGGAGTAATGGATAGCGGCTCGGATTGAGGAATCAGAGATTTATTTATTAACACAAACAAAACAAGTTATAATTTAATTCCTTTAATCCATTACATTCACTTTCACGTCGATGCTAATACCCTTGGGAAAGATGTGAATCCTCTTCTTCTCTCCTGATTTATTTGTTTAACACAAACAAAAAACAATTTATTATAATTTATAAAAAAGGAGGAGGAATGAGGATAAATTAATGGATCCATTAAAACTTCGGATTGAGGAATCAGAGAGCTTCGAGTTTTAATTCCAAAAGGAATCCATTACATTCTTTCTTTTTGAGGAATCAATTATTATAATTTATAATCAGGAGAGCCGAGTTCGGATTGAGGAATCTTGGGGGAATTCACTTTTGTTAATACCTTTGGAAAATTAAGGAATCTCTTCTCTCTTTGATTTTTTATTAACACAAACAAAACAAT